TATTCTGGGCCAACCGAGCCCAAGGTGTCCAGGGATAAAAATTAAAGAAGCAAGCACGTTCAGTAATAATAGAAATGGAGACGTGTTAGGTTGGCTGACAGCTGTGACACACAACCCCAGCGTCTCGCTGATGCATCGCAATAAAAGTTTTTTTTTTATTCCCCTCCCAGATGGTTTTCTGGTTGTGTGGCTCTGTTCTAAGCAGTGTTGCAGGGACTCAGGAACCTCCCATGTCTGGTTGCGCTATCACTCCCCGGTGCAGGCAAGGAAGCTGGCAGGAAGGCGGGCCTGGAATGTGCTCATCACTCCGGCCCACATTCCATTGGCCAGAGCTCAGTCTTGTGTCCCTACCTAGCTGCACGGGAGGCTGGGAATTGTAGTCCAGCGGTGTGCCCTGGAGGACAAGGAAGTAAGTGGGGAGTGCTGAATGCAGTCACAGCGCTATCTAAAGAGCATCTCCTAATGACAGGTACCCTACTAAGTAAGCTACAGGCAGGGGGTCATTTCACCCTCGTGTCAGCTCTCGTTTGCAGAGGAGGAAACTGAGGCTCAGAAAGTTTAAGTGAATTTTACTATGAGGTGAAAGATCCATGCTTGGAGAACCAATGTGGAACTCTAACTTTTCAACTCAGAGCTTGCAAATGAAAAGAGTAAGGACGGATAATACTAGTGAGCCATACACCACCAGCACCATCATTCAGTGCTAAGTTGGGTTAGGATTTTTCTAAGCACCTTCACAAAACCGGATGAAGTAGATGCTATTAAAACCCTTGTTTTAAAGTGAAGGAAATTGCACAGAGAGGTTAAGTGACTTGGCTGAGATCACTCAGCAAGTACAACATGGCAGAGGCAGTTTGTCTGCAGAGTCTGCATGTGTATTTGTCTCACTCCTGTTTCTCTACAGACTGTAGGGCAGAATCTCCAAAGAGAAGGCTTGGTACCCTGGGGAGGGTGCAAACTGGGGATTGGGGTGTGAGAGGGAAATAGGATCCTTCTATTTATACTTCTCCTTTTGAAAAAAAAATGAGAGCAATATTAAAATGAACTAATATGTACGTTTTAGGCAGATTGACTCTGGCACCTTCACTCAGCTGAAGATAAATCGGTATAATTAAATACAGATTAAATTAGTTAGATTTAATATGCTCTGATTTTTTTTTTTTTAAGAATAAACATAGCCCTAACTGGTTTGGCTCAGTGGATAGAGCTTCGGCCTGCGGACTCAAGGGTCCCAGGTTCGATTCCGGTCAAGGGCATGTACCTTGGGTTGCCGGCACATCCCCAGTAGGGGGTGTGCAAGAGGCAGCTAATGGATGATTCTCTCTCTCATCGATGTTTCTAACTCTCCTATCTCTCTTCCTCTCTGTAAAAAAATCAATAAAATATATATTTTTAAAAAAAGAATAAACATAAATAGAAGGTGTCACCTGCGGTGCTTGTATAAGCGGATGAGTGTGGGATATTTTAGTTTTAATTAAACTGGCTCTCACCGCGGGGACAAGTCGTCTTAAAAAATACTGCGTACGCAAAGAATGGACACCCACGTAGGTACCCCTGTCCCCAAAGCCGCAGACTGCCTTACGCAGCCCAGAACCGCTACATTCCCCCCACCCCCACGGAAGGTGGGGCCTGGTGGCCACGTCCCTTATCTTTTCCCCGCCTCCCTTGTTTCTTCCAGAGGCCTCATTGGCCACGTCACTGGGGCGAACCTAGTTATTGGAGAGATGCGATTGGAAGAAGTCACTGCCTCTCACCCGATGGCCAGCTTCGATTGGCTGAAGTGCTGCCAATCCTCACAGCCCATCAGGCAGCAGGAGCTGGTGGGACAGTGCAGTCCAAGGCCGTGGGGGGAGGAAGAGAGGAGTCCCCGGGGGAGGGCTGGAGGGTCACGGGCCACAGGCCACGGGGATCGCAGCTGCTGCCTCGGGACGGACCAGCGGAGGGGCCGGCGGGAACCTTGGGGGATCGGATCGAGATGAAGCAAGACCCCCAGCAATGTCCCCAGCTTGCCGCCGCCCAGCCAGACAGGGCTGGTTCGGAACCCTGGACCGGAGGCTTCTGCTCAGATGGACACTGCCCATCAGGAGCAGGTATAGAAACTGAGGCAGACCCAGCGGTTGCAGCTTCTGCCGCAGAGGATGGCCCACCTGCAGGGGCTTATGAGCGAGGAGCTGGGAAAAGCCCATCAGAATGCCGCCCTGGCCGCTGTGCTGGGGGCGGGGGTCGGGGGTGGGGGGAGTGTTGCCCTCAGATGCACAGAAAAGTCGCCAGTTCAATTCTGGGTCAGGGTGCATCCCCAGATTGGGCACTTGCAGGAGACGACGGATGGATGTTTCTCTTTCTCCCTCTTCCTTCCTCGCTAAAATCAATTAAAATAAGAACATTAGAAAAATCAAAATGCTGCTGAAACCGGTTTGGCTCAGTGGATAGAGCGTTGGCCTGCGAACTGAAAGGTCCCAGGTTCGATTCCTGTACAAGGGCATGTACCTTGGTTGCTGGCACATACCCAGTAGGGGGTGTGCAGGAGGCAGCTGATCAATGATTCTCATCGATGTTTCTAACTCTCTATCCCTCTCTCTTTCTCTCTGTAAAAGATCAATAAAATATACTTTTAAAAAAAAGAAATAGCCGAAGCCGGTTTGGCTCAGTGGTAGAGCGTCGGTCTGCGGACTGAAAGGTCCCAGGTTCGATTCTGGTCAAGGGCATGTACGTTGGTTGCGGGCACATCCCCAGTGGGGGATGTGCAAGAGGCAGCTGGTCAATGTTTCTCACTCATCGACGTTTCTAGCTCTCTATCTCTCTCCCTTCCTCTCTGTAAAAAATCAATAAAATATATTTTAAAAAAAAGAAAAGAAAGAAATAAAAAAAGAAAAAGAAAAATCAAAATGCTACCTGCTGACAACTGCGAGGCCTCTCAGCCTACACACTCATCTCCAGAACCACTCGGGGAACTTGAAGACGTGGCCCGGGAAGAAGGGTCCAGGAGCAGTGAGAGCTGCGGGGACCGGGCCCAGCTCCTCAGGTCTGAGGCCCTGCGCCCGTGGCAGATAACCCTGTCCTTGTGGCGGAAGGAAGCCTTCGGTGGGAGTGACCTAATCCAGAGGTCGCCATGAAGTTGGGGGAGAAGTTAAACGGAGGAGGCATGAGAAATCCCCCCTACAGAAAGCCAACGGCTCTTCTGGGTCAGGATTGTTATGTGTGCCCTGCAGTGTGGCTCCGTGCTTGAGTGTCGACCCATGAACCAGGAGATACGGTTGCGTTCCTGGTTAGCATGTGTCCGGGTTGCAGGCTCCATCCCCAGGAGGGGGTGTGTGGGAAGCAGTCGATGGATGAGTCTCTCTCATCATTGATGTTTCTCTCTCTCTCCCTCCTTCTCCCTTCCTCTCTCTGAAAGAAAAACATATTTATATAAAAAAAAGAAAAAGAAAAAAGAAAGAAGTTCTGTTACGTGTGAGAAGTCTGAGGCCCAGGAAAGATCCAATTCACTTTCCAAGGGGCTGCCCAGGGCTTGCTCTAAGTCACACTGTGCTGCAGGCAGACAGCAGCAAGAATGGCTACAGCCGAAAACTCGGGCGGACTATCCTTGTTGTTAGAGGTAAAGCACAGGGAAGAGGATGGTAGATCCTGCTGGCACTGCCACGGGGCTCTGGTTGTGAACTGAAGCAGACATTCCTGTTTGTGTGGGAAGGACCCTGTCACAGGCACGCGCTGGGCATGCTGAACAGGGCACATCCCGCTGAAGGTCGTGGTGCCACCCAGGGGCGAAGGTTATCACAGTCACCCAGGATAGGGTCTCCACAAGGGGCCCAGCAGAGGTGGAAGGAAGGTGCCTTGCACAGCATCTGCCTGTTCCCATATCGCGTCATGAAGAATATTCCAGAGCACTGACATTTTATCCAGGGAGAACAAAACACACGAGGTCATTCCATCAGAATGGGACTACCCCCAAAACGACCCTGCATTTTGACTTGGGTAAAACAGCTAAACAAAATGTTCGTTGTATCCTGGCTGGTTCTTCTCGGGTAAGAGCATTGGCACTCAGACTGAAAGGTTCATGGGTTCGATTAGGTCAAGGGCACTTACTTCGATTGTGGTTTGATCCCTGGCCCTGGTCCGGGCGGGTGTGGGAGGCAACCAATCAGTGGATCTCTCTCCTCCACCCCATCCTCCCTCCCTTCCACTCTCTCTAAAAATCAATGGGGAAAAAATTCTCCCATGAGGATAAAAAAATAAAAATAAAAGTGTTTGTTGTGTTCTTCAAAACCAGCAGGGGGCATGCAGGCTGAAATTACAATATAATAACAACAAATACTACACGAATAGCCAATGCTATTGGTTTGTGTCCTGGCATTGTGCAAAGAAGTTACATGAATTAATTAATTTAATAAACCTTACAGCCCTGGATGACTTGGCTAGATGGATAGAACTTCGACCTGCAGACTGAAGGGTCTGGGGGAGCAGGCCTAAGCTGTCAGCCAGACATCCTCAGCACTGCTGTGGAGGCGGGAGAGGCCCCCTCCACCGCCACTGTGCTCGCCAGCCGTGAGACCGGCTCGGGGCTTCTCTGTGGGCGTGCACTGACCACCAGGGGGCAACTCCTCCCTAGTAGTCAGAGAGTGACCAGTCCATTTGCATATTAGCTTTTTGTTATATAGGATACTAATTATTCCAAGTTAACTTCCAGACAACCAAAGGGAACCCTTTACATTCTAAAGTTTTGTGTTGTAAATAGCAATCCTAGTTTTTTAAACACTATCTCAGAGGATTTGGGATGTGGTTAAACTTTTTTCGATAGCTTAGCACTATTGCTATGTAGTGTCATCCTGTGCTGGGATAGGATTCTGTCTTACCTGGCTGCCAGCCCAAGCATCCTTGGTGGCCACGGTCTGCCTTAATAATACCTCTCTCCAATCCTACTCTCCCCACTCCCACCCCAACATGTGGCTGATAAAATGCTTTGGGTGAAGAAACCAATGCCTTTGTTATAAATGGCATTTTCAGTGTTGGCTTCAGCAGCACACATACTAACACTGAAACGATACAGAGGTTAACCTGGTCCCTGCACAAGGATGACATACACGCCAGTTCATGAAGCATCATGTATATATAAAATCTCACCTGAGGATATTTTTTCCATTAATTTTTAGAGAGAGTGGAAGGCAGGAAGGAAGAGGAGGGAGAGAGAGAGAGAAACATCGATATGAGAGAGAAATATGGATGGCTGCCTCCCACACGCACCCCAACCTGGGCATGTGCAACCTGACGGGGAATCGAACTGGCAACCTTCAGGGCATGGGATGATGCTCCATTGAGCCACACCAGCCAGGGCTAAAGCGCCTTTATTTTTTAAAGCTCTATGCAGAATCAGGTGTAGGTAAGGCGATACAGTGTCTGGGGGCTGTGGGAAGATAATGTGGGAGTGAGGGCTGGGGCTGGGCTGGCTGAGGCTGAGGCTGAGGCTGAGGGCTGAGGGCTGAGGGCTGAGGCTGAGGGCTGAGGGCTGGGGTGGGGCTGAGGCTGAGGGCTGAGGCTGAGGCAGATGAGACAGGCCGGGCTGTTTTGTCCTGTGAGCTTCAAAGGGGAGGGAGTGGGTCTCCTTACTTCATAAAGATGTTGCAGAGAAAAACCAAGCCGCTTTTAGAGAAAAGGAGTTACCCTGTGAAATACGCGGGCGGACTCGTCCAAATCACTTCCCAAACCTGAGAAGTCACATGCAGGAGCTTCTCTTTCTATCTTTCTGGGTCTTTGTCCGCAAACATGGATTATGCTTCGGTCTTCTCCCGGGTTTTGCAAAAGGCCCCAGGTGTTGGGGGTCCTGAGACCATATCTGATGGTCTGGCCTGGCACCAGCGCTAATACCCTCCCCCCCAACACACACACACACACTCCGGGGCTGGGCACTGTTCACCGGTCATGGCCTCTGTATTTAGGTAACAGGTTCTGCAGGACCGGTTTCTGGGAAAGAGGCAGTGACTTAATTATAGGTTCTCAAGAATGCAGTCTGGGCTTGCTGGCACAGATTCAGATTCCAAACCCCCTTTCTCCCCCTCCCCCCGCCCCCAATATCAGGGCTACATTGGAATTGGCCCCTTTGAGCCTTCTCACTGAGAGCTGTGGACCTCGGCCCATCAGAAAAGAAACGGCACGGTTTACCCTTTTGGGGACTCAGGGGCAGGGCATCCTAAACCACCTGGGCAGGAAGCCCCTGCAATAACCGCCTCTGACCACGAGAGAGCGCTGTGGGACAGGAGCCAGACCAGCTAGCCCGTCAGCCGAGGCCAGCTCGGATGCGGCGATGACAGGTGAGGAGGGACTGTCCTGCCCCAAACTTACCATTTGTGACAACGACACCATCGGACCCTCCCAGCAAACCCAGGACCCGGTGCTGCAAGAACCCTGCCTCACAGATCCGGAAGCCACGGCTCAGCATCAGAAAGGGTTTGTCCCCAGTCGCCAGGTGAGAGTGGGGGGAGGAGAGCTTCAACTCCACTCTGACCTGGAGCCCAAAATGGCGGTCACACGACCCCCTCCCCCCACCCCTTTGATGCCGGGCCATCTTTCCTCCTGGGTCCCTTCTAGAGGGACCCCTGGTCAGAGGGTGTGCCCAGGCCGCTCAGCAGGGGTGCACTGATGACTACAGAGAGACTTGGCTGGCTGTGGGGGTGCCAGCGGCCGGGGAAGGAGCCGCAGACATGGGGAGGGACATGGGGAGGGACACGGGGAGGGAGGTCCCGGCCACAGGGCGGGGAGATCCGCCCGGCCCCTGGCAGAGCCGCCCTGGGAGCCCGCCAGGTGTATTAATATCCTGCTGAGTCAGGGGGCTCTTGAGTGTCAGCATCACAAGACCCAGGGGCTGAGCACAGCAGGACTATTCCTGACTCCGGTGCCCTGAATCCCACCCGTGCCCCCTCCTTCCTCCCTCTTCCCCCTCCCCCCAGCGTCTGAGTTGCCATGTGTCCCGGGAAGTCACTTCACCTGACTGTACTCCAGGGGCACGAAGAGGCTAAGAAGCAAGAGCTGGGCTTCCAGAATATGCTGCCTGGAAGGTCTGCTCTGTTCCCAGCGCTGTCCTGGATGCTGGGGATCCTGCCCCGGGGGCGGGAGGGGTGAGGGGAGCTCACAGTCAAGGGTTCAACGTCTGCCCACATGGGGCCCCAGCCAGCAGCCACGGCTACGGTCATCGGCTGGCCAGCAAGCTCTCCGGGACAGTGGGAACTGGGTCTTGGGGACCAGGTCCCATGGGGCGGGCACTGGCTGGAGGGAGGAACAGCTGGATTTGGGAGCGGGGATCCACGTGGGGGTGGCCATGACAGTAGAGGGGCCCAGGAGAGAGGCTGCACCCTCACTGCCGCCACAGCCCGCACACGGCCCTGCACAGGCCGGTGACGGAGGGTCCTCCATGCCCGTCGGCTCTCGGAAGTGCCCTGTCACGGTTTAAAAATGATTTACGCCTGGCCTGAGGAAATACGCACTCAGTAAACTATCTGGGATAGTTGACTGGTTTTTAGAGAGAGGGGAAGTGAGAGGGGGAGAGAGAAACATGGAACGGCTGCCTCCTGCAATCCTCCCACCGGGTACTGAGCCCACGACGTGGGCATGTGCTCTGACCCGAAATCAAACCAGCGACCTCCTGGTGCCCGGGACGATGCCCAGCCACCTGACCACAGCGGCCAGGGCTCAACCTTGATTCTACACTCATTCATTCGGTCCGGTCCGGCATCCACAGCACTGGCCGGATGCGTGGATGGGTGATAAAAGAATTTTATCCCTAGAGAATGCCTGTTCCCACAGCCCAGGCCCCGCCCCGCCCCCCACGCTGTGACCCCTGAGCCGGCTCCTGCCAGGCCCTGCCCACACTTGTCTCAGGGGCTTGGCTCCAGGGCCCTCCCTCCGGAGCCCTTATCAGCCAGCCCAGAGGCCCAGAGAGCAGCCCTATTAGGGACACACTCCCGCAGGCCTCCCTGCCGCCTGCGGCCCCTCCTCAGAGTTCTCCCAGCGGGGAGGGCTCTGTGGGGGCAGGAAGGGGCTATGGCGACAGGAAGACCCCGCCTTGGGCTTGTTGCTTCAGGCAGCCTGAGGAAACCCGGCTGGCCTGGGGGGACCCTCCCAGGATGTGACCCCCGCGGGGTGGGGTGGGGAGGGGCTGCAGGCCTGTGCCTGCTCCAGGGTTTCCACTGGAGGCTGGGGGCTGCCCTGCCTCCCCCACAGGCCGGCCGGCCGCTCAGCACCTGCCTGTGCACGGCTAAGCCTCCGTTTTCTCCTCCTTAAACGGCAGATTCTGGCAGCGCCTGGCCTCCCAGGGTGCGGGGATCCGGCTGAGTGTGCGGCAGGGCTCTGTGCTGCCACCCTGGCGCTGCTGACACCGCCCCGGGCCCCCACGGGCGCCCGCAGGCAGTCACCCCGCAGCCTCTATGTCACCGGCGCCTGGGAAAGCGATACGACTGGCATTCCCCTTGTGAGGATGAGGGCACGGGGGGCCGTGGATGGGGTCGGTGTCAGGGTCACGCGGCTCTGAGCAGATGAGCCTCCATCTGTCTGACCTCCGCACAGATGTTCCCCCGCATCCGGTGCCTCCAAAGGCTCCTCACCCCTGCCCACATGGCTGACGCCATCACGGGAGGCCTCAGCTGCCCAGCCGGCCACGGACAGGGCTGTGCCGGGCAGTGCCACAGTCAGTGCAGACACCCGTGGGGCCGGGATCCCAGGTCCCGCCAGACCCACCCAGGCTCCTCTGACCTTCGCACAGATGCAGTGGTGGCACATGCAGGAGGCAACCGATCCAAGTCTCTCCCTCACATCACGGCTTCTCTCTGTGTCTCTCCGCCCTCCCTTCTCTCTGAAACGTCAACGGGAAACATATCCTCCGGCGAGGACCACAGGAACCAAAGGGGAGCCGCATGCCGGATGGAGCTGGCGCTGCCCCAAGGTCGCAAGAGTGGTTTCAGGTGAGAAAAACCAGCGCCACTTCCCACCTTCGCTGTTACAGGAGGAAACTGCAACGTCATTTTGACCAGTCGACGCTGACGAAGCCTTTTTCAAAGTTTCACGAAAACTCACGGACACGCTTCTCGGCAGCGTCTGCCTTCCTCGCGTCCCCTGAGCTGAGAGAGGAGAAGCGCGGTGCTCCCGAGGCCTCGTCTGCTCCGCCGTGAGGCTGCAGTCCTCCTGGAGCAATGAGATGGGGAGAAATAAAGGAATTAAAAACCTCCGGTAGGAGAAGAGAAAGGGAGGGTCTGCTACACTGAAAACCAAAGAGGAGAGCTGAGCAAGACACCCATGTAAAAAAAAAATAACATACAAAGGCAATTCCACTTTTATACACCGGGAACCATTTGAAAACGTACTTGAAACAAGTGTGTGTGTGTGTGTGTGTGTGTGTGTGTGTGTATGTTGCCCTGAACAGTGTGCTCAGTGGTTGGAGCACCCCCCCCCCAGCACATTGAAGGGGTTCAATTCCTGGTCAAGGGCACATGCCTCGGGTGCAGTTTCCATCCTTGGCCCCTACCAGTCAGGGCTCGTGCGGGAGGCAGCCCATCGATGGATCTCTCTCACATGCTGTTTCTCTCTGTCTCTTTCACGCTCTCTCTCCCCTTCCACTCTCTCAAAAAATTAATAGAAAAACATAGCTTCACACCTCGGGTGAGGGTCTAAAAAGAAATGTGTGTGTGTTGGGGGGAAGGGAGGCCCCACCCCAAGAGCATGGACGTTCTAAGCGTCTGCAAATAAGGCTAACAGAACAGGCAAGAACCAGGCAGAGGAGCACAGCACTTCGTGAAAGGGGCCCAGAAGGCAGAAAGGACAACGTGTGCGTGCGGACAGGGCGGCCTGAGAGCACAGGGCGGTCGGGTCTCCACAAACCGACACCCCTCCCCCAACCCCGAGCCCCGGGCCAGAGGGGGTCTTGTAGGGTTCGACCAGCGATTCTGAAATTTCTGCCGGAGCACAGGTCTGGGATGCGCCCGGAGGAGAAGACAGAGGGGACTTGCTTTTTCTGATCTGAGCACTTGGAGACCTTGTGAGTGAATGCACTGCACACACAGCTGTCCTCCACATTGGCTCCCTCTCTGTTATGTGAGCGCCATCCCAGTTTAGAACAAACTGGTAGCGACTCAGCTGTTTAAAGGAAGGAGCGGCCCTAGCCGGTTTGGCTTACTGGATAGAGCGTCGGCCTGGGGACTGACGGGTCCCAGGTTCGATTCTGGTCAAGGGCATGTACCTTGGTTGCAGGCACATCCCCAGTGCAGGAGGCGAGTGATGGATATTTCTCTCTCATTGATGTTTCCAACTCTCTATCCCTCTCCCTTCCTCTCTGTAAAAAATCAATAAAACCTATATTTTAAATAAATGAATGAAGGAATGAATGAAGGAAGGAAGGAGTGATGGTCCTTCCGCCCGGGGGATGGCCGTGGCAGCGGCAGCCGAGATGCAGCTGCAGAGATGCTGGGCCGGTGGTTGCGCTGCTTCAGTGACCGGGAACCGCAGGCCACAGAACTGTGGTGTGGAACCGCTTTTTGGGGTCGAAGTACACCTATATTTTTATGGATGCATGGAAAAGCATCTGAAGGGATAACCAAAGTAGTTCTGCTTTTCCTGTGTGTACTCATTTTTTATTAGAGAAACACATGGTTATGGAACAAAAAACCATAGTAATCAGAAAGAAATTCTTAATTTAAAAAATCCACCCTGTTCCTTGGGAGGCTCTGAGGAGTCATCACACATGTGCTCCCCCTCCCCGCTCAGGCCAGAATTCCTCTCTTCTAAGGGGGCGGGAGGCGGCCAGGCCCTCGGGGAGGGCCAGTCCATGCCTCTCCCACCGCCGCCTCTGAGCTGAGGTCCCCAGGGCCCCGCTGGCCGCTGGCCCCCTGCGGAGGTGCGGGCCGAGCTGTCAGGACTGGGGACAGCCTCGTCCCACGTGTCTCCGCAGCAGAGCGGCCCCGGATGGAGAAGAGGCCAGCTGGGCCTCGGGCCTCAGGCTGCACTGCTGACCCCAGCTGGCCGTCCCTCCGGAGGCCCCGGGCTGCGGCTCTCGGGTGGGGCTCAAGGCTCATGCTGCTGCCAGACCTCACAGCTGGGCTGCTGGCGGGAGGAGCTCTCTCAGGGCCCCGGGCCTGAGCCCCACCAGCCAGGCCGCTAACAGGCTGCAGCGCAGGTTGTGGGCCAGTGACCAGGCAGAGGGAAGGTCTCCCAGGGAGATGGCATGTCCAGGCTGGGCTAGGGACCTGCTGGCTTCATGAGTGTGTGTGTGTGTGTGTGTGTGTGTGTGTGAACACATGTACACGTGTACATATTAGATAAAATCCAGGACACACATACATTTGAATTTCAGATAAATGAATAGCTTTTCAGTGTAAGTATGTTGCCAATATTGCATGTTTACTTGCTAACCCTGGCAGGCCCGATGCATGGAAAGGTCCGTGCAGGTGTGCTCATGCATGCTGTGTAAGAGTACACGTATGTATGTGTGCATGAACCTGTGCACATATACTCCTGGGCGGTGTGTGTACCAGGTGCAGGTGGCAGTTTTAGGGCGAGTGTGAGCCCCATTTTTGGTCCCATTTTACCTGTAGGGGTATGTATAACGGTACGGGTGTGGACATGAACAGGTGTGCATCTACCTGTGTTTGCACCGAGCACATGCAGTGCTCCCTGAAGGAGTGTCTGTGTGTGCGCATGCTACAGAGTCTGAGAGCGGGAGGAAGCCCAGCTCCCCGTGGGGAGCCGGGGCCGGCTCTGGCGAGGCTGGGTGTGCGTGCACATGTGTGTGTGCACCAGCTCCACCTCTGCCCGGCAGCCCGGCCACACTCAGCGGTCCACCACAGCCCTCCGCCAGGAGGCCCCTCTCCATGCAGGAAGGGCAGGCGGAGCGAGACCCGGGCACCAGCCTCGCCCCCTGTGCAGAGCCGCGGGCGCTCCCACGTGGCCACAGAAAAGCTGGCCAAAGCGCAGGCCAGATGTTGCTCTCTGCCGGCCCCCGCCCCCAGCTAGATGGCTCGGATCCCAGAGTTCCTGCAGGTTTTGGCTCCTGCTGTCCCTTCCGCTGCCCCTTCGGACTTTCCCCAGAAGGGAGCGGGCTGGGGCCCGAGCACTTTTTCCCGGACCCATTGCCTGGGCTGGAGTGGCTTCCCCTGGCCGGGGGTCAGGCCCTGGGAGGGGGTCAGTGCAGACACCAGCGCCCGGGGCTCCTTGCTCAGCTCTCCCCTTGCTGCCCAGAAGCCACTGGGCCGGCAGCAGCCCAGTGCCCCAGTGTGCCTTCACTCACCGTGTGTCCCAGCCGCCCCAGCCCCGTGGCAGGGGACAGCCAGCCCCGCCCCCGGCCCCCCGCCCCCGGGGTGCGCTCCCAGAGCCACAGAGCCGAGGGCAGCCCGGTGCTTCCCCCAGGGGCTGGCTCCCTCCGGCCGGGAGGCTGGGCACCTTGGCATGGGGGCCGCCCGCTCCTGGCCGCTCCGGCCTTCCCTGAGCCGGCCAGCTTCTCCCCGGGACCCCTGTCCCGCTGGCTCAGGGCCCACCCTTGACCTCATTTTCACCAGTCGCCCCTTGAAAGGCCCCAGTGGCAGACACAGACCAATCCTGAGGTCGGGGGTCAGGGCTCCACCTGTGAATTTGGGGAGGGAGACCCAGCTTACCCGTAACCCTCACACCGGGCTGGGCCAGGGCTCCTCCCACTCGGCCACCATCCCCGGACCCCGACTCCCCGCTCTTTGGACAAATGAGAGCTTTCCTGGCGGCCAAGTGGAGGCCCAGGTGGGGCGCCTTCCCCCAACTTAGAGAACCACTTGGGACAGGAGGGCCCGTTCTCAGCTGCTCTGCCCCTCCTCACCCCTGGAACCCGCAGTTCAGGGAAGGCTCCCCGTTCCTGGGGTGTGTGGTGTGGCCCCGAGAGGCTGCCGGGCGGGAGGGTTCCAGAGCCCCAGGTTGGCTGCTTGGCGTTGGCTCTGGGGGCCGGGAGGGAGCCGGGAGGTCACGGCCACAGAGGCGGGCGGGTGGGTTGAGCCAGGCCCCGGAGCTGGTGTCTGCTTGTCACGAACACACCCACAAGCCCAGGGGCTGCCAACAGCACAACGCATGGTCTTACCTGCCGTTGGGGCGGGGAGGCCGCGGGGTGAGGCCGGGTGCGGGCGCTGGCTCCTTCCACGGCCGGGGTGGGGGTCGGCTGCGGCCTTCCCCTGGGCTGGAGGCGCTGCATCTCTCGGCCCGCGGTTCTTCCTCGCCGGCAGAGCCAGCAGCCTCTCCCCCCGGCTGCCCTCCGCCGTGAGGACGTGATGACCGGCCCACCTGGCCGCCCGCTCCGGAGTGAGGTCAGCTGACCAGCAGCCTCCCCCCACCTGCCGCCGTGCTCCCGGCTGAGGACTCGCAGCCGCAGGGTCCAGGCTAAGGCTAAGGAAGCGGGCGTCTGGGGGCCAGTTTTCTGTCTACCTCAGCCCCTCATCCGGCATCGGCTCCTCCCGTCGGCGGGGAAGGGAGTCACTGCCCCCCGGATTCACCTGCAGCTGGCGGGGTTCACCGTCGCCCCCTGCTGGCGGAGCAGGTTTCCAGCCGCAGCTGCCAGCTGGGAGCCTGGCTCTACCCCACCGGCACCACCAGGCTCCGGCACCACCAGGCTCCGGCCCGCCCGGCTCTCACTGTGGTGCTGGTGGGGCCCCCCCAGGGGCCATGACCCTCCCCCGCTCCTCGGGAGGGGCAGCAGCTGGGAAAGCCCAGGAGCCCACTTCCCTGATCAGCTGACACCATGGCCCACCTGAAAAGTGAGAATCAGTTTCCCCTGTTAACAGAGACTCCTCCCTCCGTTAACAGAGCCCCCTCCCCCCATTAACAGAGCCCTCTCCCCCCCGTTAGCAGAGACCCCTCCACCCATTAACAGAGCCCTCTCCCCCCCGTTAGCAGAGCCCCCTCCACCCGTTAACAGAGCCCTCTCCCCCCGTTAACAGAGACCCCTCCACCCGTTAACAGAGCCCCCTCCTCCCTGTTAACCAGGACCCCTCCCCTCTGTTAACATGGCCCCTCCCCCCTGTTAACAGAGACCCCCTCCATCCCCCACTCCCTGTATTAACAGACTCTCCCGCCTGGAAACCCAAACCACACAAAGAAAAACCACGCGGGAGGGTCCCCTTGCATGTCATCTGTATTGTCACATGAAATGCACATACATGACGTTGACGTGGAAACGACCTATTAGGTCACACGGAGTCCGGCCCCTGGGGGCCAAAGTGGTACCGATGCCCACAGGCCGGGGTGTTCCGCGGGCGTTTCTCTGGCCAGCACTGGGAGCGGCTGGGTCACCTCAGTCCTTCAGCTCTGGGCGGCGTCCCCCAAAACAGCTCAGGGAAGCAGGGTTCTTCCGGGGACCCAGCCCTCCCGCGAGCAGAGGGCTCTGTGGTCAGATCAGCGTGGGAGCGAGGTCCACAGGCTCCACAGGAAGTTTGCAGGCCTTGTCAGAGCCTTTGTGACACTGACACCTGCGACCATCCACCCCGGGGCAGAGCAGGCAGCATCGCCCACAAACCCTTCGCCTCCCAGGCCGGCGTCCGGCGGGCACCTTCGGACGGGGCGGCCCTGTGCTGGGTGCTGGGCGGGGGGTGTTTGCCAGGTCCTGTACGGTGTGGCCTGATGGGCACAGCCAGGAGCTCAACAGTCACGGTGATGAGAGGACGGGACGAGGTCCCGCTGCCGTCTTCCTGGTTCTCACCCGTCACCTGCAGAGCAGAGGCCGAGCAGGGCCGTCCCCGGGGGCCTGGAAAGGGGCGGGCCGCCAGCCGCCGCCGGGAGCTGGGGCCGCACGGTCCTCCGCGGCCGCAGCCCAGCCAGGAGCTCACCAGGCGGAGATGAGCATCTGGCAGGTGTTGGAGGACATCCAGACCAGCTCCACCAGGCGGAACTGCAGGTAGCCGAGCACGAAGCCCGAGACCACGTCCGTGATGTGGTGCCGCCCGATCATGACGCGGGACAGCCCCACGCACAGGGCCCAGAGCACCAGCAGCACGCGCAGCGGCACGGCCAGCACCAGGTGGCTCAGGAAGAACTTGGACACCATGGCCGCGCGGCTGGCGTGGCCGGCGGGAAAGGCGTACACGTCCATGGTGAGGTAGTCCAGCAGCCCCGGGCTGGTGTCGAACGGGCCGCGCCGCTTGATGAGCTTCTGCATGCCGGCCACCGTCATGATGTCCAGGAGCAGGGCTGCGGGGAGACGGGCCCCGGGGCGGGGGTCAGTGCCCTGCCGCTGGGGGTCCCCCTCCCCCAGCCACACGGGGCGCCAGCCACACGGGGGCCAGCACGCTCCCATCTCGGGCCTTTGCCTGCTGTTCCCTCCACTGACTGCCCTGCCCTGGGTGTTCCCTTCTTCCCGCAGACACACCTCTCCTGACCACCGGCTTACCAAAGGCCCAGCCTCCACCCTGCCCCTGCCCCCTGCCCCTCACTCCCTGCCCCTGCCCCCTGCCCTCTGCTCCCTGCCCCTGCCCCCTGCCCCTGCCCCTGCCCCCTCCCTCACTCCCTGCCCCTGCCCCCTGCCCTCTGCTCCCTGCCCCTGCCCCCTGCCCCTGCCCCCTCCCTCACTCCCTGCCTCCTGCCCCCTGCCCTCTGCTCCCTGCTCCCCCGTCCTCTGCCTTCCCACCCTCTCCTTGCCCCCTGCCCCCTGCCCCCTGCCCCCTGCCCTCTGCCCCCTGCTCCCCACCCCCCACCCCCTGTTCCCTGCTTCATTTTCCTTTGCAGCACCCCTCCCCGCCTGGCATGCCACCCATGGTCTCATGAGCTCCTCCCATCTCTCCCCTCCAATGTGAGCTCCCAGGACAGGACTGGGCGCGCTCCGGCTGGAGGCGACCGGTAAAGCCGAGGCCTGAGCGAGTGGGATGGGGTCCCCTGGGCTCTGGGAGGACCCCAGTTTGACAAACGGGACCCTGGGCTGGTGATTTTTCTCAAAGGGCCTCCTGGAAGCCCCCGTCAATCCCGAGAAGAGGACGTTACCAGCCCCTTCTCTTTAAATATATTTTATCATCTCAGAGAGCAAGGGAGAGGGAGGGAGAGAGAAACATCAGTGATGAGAGAATCATGGGCCGGTGGCCTCCTGCAGGCCCCACACTGGGGATGGAGCCCGAAACCTGGGCTGTGCCCTGACCAGAACCGAACCGTGACCTCCTGGTTCATAGGCTGGTGCTCAGCCGCTGAGCCCCGCTGGTGGGACCATGTCTTCAGCGGGAGGTGGAACTCACAGGACATACAATGGGCCTCGCAGTGCCCAGCGCAGCGGCATCCGGCACGTTCACCGGTGTGAGCACCACCTCTCCAGCTACAAAGCACTCATCCCCTAGAGCAGTCCCCCTCCACCCTCCGCCCGCCCCCAGCCTGCTCTCCGTCTCTCCGGACGTCCTACGAAGGGAGTGGGTCCCCACGGGCCTGGCCCACAGGGAGGCCCGAGACGGACGGTCATCACACTGGCACCAGGTGCGGCCCAGGAGCGGTGAGGGGCTGACCACTCAGGACACTGCTCTGGGGTGGTGCTCCCCGAGAACTCTCACAGATCTGACCCCCCAGAGGCAGCCCGTCCCACAGAGGTTCTTGGGGGTGTCAGTGTGGGCCCGGCCTGGGCTGGTGTCTTGTGCTGGGAAGAGACGGGGAGCTAGCAGCAGTCATACGGAGCCCCTTCCCGGGTGGTACACAGTGGTCTGCCCCTCACCACGCTGCCCTGGGCCCAGGGCTGTTGGAGGGAGAGGCACTCAGCCTGCAGCCGCTCTCCAGCAGAACCCATGGGCTCCCAGCCCCCCGCACCCCCCCTGCCACTCCCCCCGCAGGGCCCTCTCCCTCCTCCAGCTCGGCAGCCGGCAGCCCTGCAGCCCGGCCCTGTGACCGTGATTCTGACACTGTCAGCGCCTAATCCGGGGCCCAGAAATAGCAGCAAATGGTGCCATCACTCAGGGCTTCATGAAGGCCGCTCACACGGCCCCGACAGTCCCCGGCCTGCATTCCCTCCCGGATTCCGAGGGAGCCCATGGCCCCGTAGGAGAGGCCCAGCCCGGAGGAAGCTCAGGGACCGCGCTGTGTGACCGGGCAGGTCACTCAGCCTCTCTGGGCCTCCGCTCCCTGCAGTCAGCGAGGACGGAGCTCTGCACCGGGGCTCCAGAATCAGAGCTGCGTCAAGGTCGGCTGCTTGCAGATGGCATGACCTTGGCAGGGCCGTCCCATGGGGGCCTCCCTCCCTCGGTGATAACATGAGGATCGCGCCGAGGCAGCTCTGAGGGCTCCCTAAATGGCACCTGGGAGCAGGGGTGGGGGTGGGGGTGGGAGGGGCTGAGATGCCTGAACCCCCAGGCGGGAATCCTGACACCTGGCACCTGTCCCTGGGGAGGGAGCAAAGATGAGGTTCCTTGCCGGTGAGGGGGGCAGGGTTGGGGGTGGGCTGGGGCTGGGAGGAGGGGTCCTGGCTCTTCTGGCCTGAGGACTGACCCTGCCTCTCCCCCCCCACCCCGCTGGCTGCTGGAGGGGTGGGGACCGGCCGGAGGTGCTGGTGGGCGGGGTGAGCGCCCTCGGCTCTGGGCAGATGTCTGGCCCAGTGCCGAGAGGTCTGCCATCTGCAGGAATGTCCTCGGGGGGTGAGGGACGCGCACCTGCTCAGGATCCAGGATGGCCACCCAGTGCCCTTGAGTGGCTGAGTCCAGACCACGGTGCACTGGGGGGGGGGGGGGGGGGGGGGGGAGGACGCAGTGTGGATATTCATAGCCCGAGGAGGACAGCCGGGGTTGGTCAGCGGGAAAGGCCAATTGCGAGCAGGACTTACAGGGGGGGCTGTTTCTGCAAAAAGAAGATGCAAATGTGCTTATCTGCAGAGAGGCGGGGGCGGCCGCACTGAATGTCCGCAGGGAGGGAGCAGCGCCTGGCTGGGCGGCTGAGGCGATCTGTATTGTCTTCCTGTCACTCTGCATGAACGAGTTTTCTCACCGCCACTACCCGGGGCTCGCACACATTTTAAACGTTACGGTATTTCACAGAAAGCACACATGGCAGGACTCCGCTTACGGGAGGCGCCTGAAGGAGGGAATTCGTAGCATCGTCCTGGACGTGGGTCAGAGGGTGCCAGGGCTGGGGGAGGCGCAGAGTTGCAGCTGGGGAGAGGAGGAGGGTCTGGGGGTGACGGGGGTGAATGCACTGAGCTGACCGGGGTCCAGGCCGCGGATGTGAGGTGCCGTGCGTGGCAGCGCACATATGAAAGCTCTCTTACCCCGGGGCCCCCAGAAAGCCTGGCCCGGGGGCCTGCGGGAGCAGAGCGTGGGCGGGAGGAGGCCCTGAGGGTCCGTCTTGTCTCCCAGCCGGGGAGTCTGAGGACTCCCACAGCCTGGCAGGTCTCCGTTTTCCCACCTGAAGGAGCTGGCTCTGTCTCTGCAGATGGTGGGGGTGCAGGAGTGTCAACACCACGAGCCCAGAAGGCGGAGGGCACATTGATTCCTCAGCGGAGTGCCAGGCGCGGGACAGGGCTTTAGAGCGGGTGTGGGGGTGGGGAGAGACACTGAGCCCCCGGGCCTGCCTGCGGCCCCTCCTCCCTCCACCTCGGGGTCCTCTGCTGGGCCCTGGCCTGGCTGGGGTGGGGGGCACCCAAGGGCTGCCCTGAGGTGGTGAGAGTGGACTGGGCGGCAGGAGGCATGTTCTACTCTGCAGAGCTGCTCCCAGGCACCACGGTCTGTACGGCCGGCGGAGGGGCCAGCGGAGGGGCCGTCACCTAAGCCGTCCGGGACACAGGGCAGGGGGCAGCGGGTCTGCCAGCGGGAAGGGGAACTGGGGGGGGTGCTGGGACGGGTGGGGGGCGGGGACCGCTGCAGAGGTGAGGAGTCTGGTCTGGGTCCCGAGCCCCTCAAGCATGAAGGGACATGGGGTGGAGGGCATCACAGGAGGCTGTCACTGGTGTGCGAACGGGCCGGCTGGGCAGAGCGGGCCGTGTGACCTGTGCTCAGAGCAGAGCCCAGCGCCCGGGGGCCGGCTGCCGTGGAGCCCTCGCTGTGTGCGAGGCCAGGGCCAGCTCACACGCTCACCGGCACTCGGGCCGTTTGTGCTGTTTCTGGCCATGACAACGTATCGCAGAAAGGGGCCCCACATCACAAGCTCACATCAAAACCGAGCCCGCTCACACCCACAGGGACGGCCGTTCTGGAAGAGGGGGTGGCAGGTGCTGGCCAGGGCGTGGAGACGCGGGCGGGGGGCCCTGGGGCAGCGGCCCCTCCACCAGCTAAACGTGGGGTTAGACGGTCCCGCTCCGGGGTCTGCCCCGAGGAAGGCCAGGCTCTCTGAGGACCTGTGTCCACAGTGGCCAGAAGGCAGAGCCACCAGAGGCCGCTGACAGGGGGTGGGCGAGCGCACACGTGGTCCAGCCACACAACAGAGGGCCACGCGCCTTAGAAGGCGGGAAACACGGACACGCGGGGGAGGTGGACCCCGAGGACACGCTGAATAAAAGAAGTCATCGTAAAAGGACACAGAACTAGGGGCTGCCACGCCCCTGCGGTTCCCACAGCGTCACTTCCTAGAGACAGAAAGGAGACGGGGGAGCCAGGCCTGGTGTCCTGCAGGCACCTGGGACGGCCTGGGCCACGGTCACCTGGCTCCCTCTGGGATCAGCAAGCAGGTGCTGAGGGGTCAGACACAGGTCTAGAGCTGGCCGGGGACCCCGACTTCCTTTGGGAATGGTGGTGTGCGGATGGGGTGCCAGGCATTGCCACGCTAGCATTCCTGTGTGCTCAGCACTGGGCGTGTAATTCCTCAGTGAAGGCCCCCATCAGCCCATTTCACAGAGGAGCACAGTGAGGCTCAGAGAGGCTAAGTCACTGCCTGAGTTGGGCAGCATGCCCTGAGGGGAGCACCGCAGCCCTGAGTGCCTCAGCCCCGTCCTCCCCCAGGGGCCGAGGGGGGCCCAGGTCCCAACTGCAGGCAGAGGCCTTGGCTCCCAGCCCAGGGGCCGCCCCCATTAATCTACTGGGTGCCCTGGGGTTGGAGTGGGCGGGCAGGGCCGGGCAGGGCTCTCTCTCCTCTGGGCCTGCAGCGCGTAACAGTGGATCAGCCATCCACCGGGCACATCCGCGGGCCACTCACTATGCCAAGTGCTGTAGCCCCCAACGCCCCCTCAGCCCTGAGCCCCTCCGAGGTCAGGAAGCCGAGGCTCTGAGACGGGGACTCCCCTGTCCAAGGTCACAGAGGAGTCAGGCTTGGGCAAGGCCTGGACCACGCCCAGTCCCACTCAGAGCCTCGCTCTGGAGTTGAGAGACCCCAAGGCTCACCCCCAACCGCCCCCCCCCCCCAAAAAAAAGACAGCAGAACCCTGCAGGCCGATGGCGAGGGGATGGCGAGGGTTTGCTGCCCGGAGGACCTGGGTTTGAGTCCCTGACCTGCCACATAGGGCTGCGTGGACTGGGCGAGTCCCTGACCCTCTGAGCCTCAGGGAGCGCACCTGCCGAGTGGTGTCTTCCCGTTTCCCTCAGGCGCCATTCTCAGGTTTTTAACTCATGAGACACGTGCGCCCCAGGCTCGGGGCGGTACACAGGAGGCTCAGAGAGTGAAGGCTGAGGACTTCGCTGCACCTCCCCGTGCCTCTGTTTCCCTCTTCAAACGGAAAACACCAATGGCTTCTGCCTCCTGGGGCTGAGGGAGGCCACGTGACGGCTGGCTTATGGAGAAGTGGACAGACAGCAGACACCAAGCACAGGACAGATTCCACCACCACCATCCAGGTGGGACTGGGCAGGCAGGGCAGGGAGCGGGCTCCAGCAGGCCCTGCATGCCCGTCCAGACACCAGGCACCCAGCCCCCTGCTCCGAGTGAGTGCGGCTAAGGAGAGCAGGGTGCTGCCCAGACCCCCTCCTGGCACCTCGGCCACTTGCCCTGCACCCTCCCTCCCGAGCCCGTGGCCCGGCGCCCAGACAGCACAGGCCTGGCTGCCAGCGGCCCCGGTGCAAACCCAGCTCTGAGCCTGAGCCAGGCTTCCTCTGGAGGGGCCTCAGTTTCCTCATCTGTGAAGTGGGAACGATCCCAGTGCCAGTCACATGGGACTGCTTATTCGGGATAAACATCGAGCAATGGAATGACTTAGTCATAAGAAGGAGAAAACACTGATGGCGCCTCACCCACCGGCCCCTTCACGAACCATCTGCCCCACGTCCCACCCACAGCGCGTCCACCCCGGACTCCGAGGCCTCAGCGAGGAGACACGCTCTCATCCCAGCTTCCTCGGGGGCCGGTTCTCAGGGGTCTGGCCCATCCCCTTTGGGAACTGGGCCCTCGTCGGTGTCGGTTTAACCTGGGAGGGGCGAGGGACGGACATGGCTCAGTGTGGGACCGGAAGGTGCTGGGAGGGTGGCCGGCTGTGGGTGAGGGCCCGCCTTCCACAGGGGTCCCCCAGGGGCGCGGGCACAGAGCAGGCTGAACAGAAGACGTTGTTAAAACAAACCAAAGACCAGCTCACAGGCCCCTCCCCGGCCCCTCCCCCGGGAAGCACCCTGAACCTCCCGCACCCCTAGGTCCCATGGGGTCATCTCAGGCAGCCGGTAGGATCTCAGGGGGCCAGGCAAGGAGTAGGGGGGCAGCTCACAGTGCTGCCTGCAAGCAGCCCACAAACTCAGGGACCCCCACCTGCGGGTGGGAGTTACAGATGAGACGCTCCATCCAAAACCCCCACCAGCCTGACTACCTGCCTCAGGCCGCAGCCTCCAGGGCCTCCCCCGACCCCCGCTGTCTCTGGGCCGTGGTTCCCAGTGCCCCCCACCCCCCTTGCAGGGCCCTCACCTGCGCATCCCTGTCCCCCACCTCTCCACCCCCCAGCTCGTCTGTTTCTGGGGCGCCCTCCCTGCCTAACCTCATTCGGCGGCTCCTGTTTCGAGGTGCCCGCCGGGTGGCAGGGTGAGTGGGGCGGGCGGGGGGCGGCGGGGCGGCACACTCACCCAGGAGCAGGTTCAGGAGCACCTCCTGGCCGGCCAGCGTGCTGCTCTTCACCAGGCAGAGGATGGTGCCGCCGATCCAGGGGATGCCGTGGCCGGTGATGCCGATGAGCTTGATGATGGAGCGGGCGCTGGCCCAGGACGTGGCCCGGCCGGCGCACACGCCCAGCCGCTTGGACATGCAGATGTCGATGGCCAGCAGGGAGCTGAAGGCGATGCCCTTGAAGGAGGGGTTCAGCTGCATGCAGTCCTCCTCGGGCAGCTGCTGGGACTGGCGCCGCTCCCGGGCCCCGTCGCCGGGCGGCGGGGGCTGCGCCGAGGGCCCCGAGCCCTTCCTGGCCGAGCTGCCGCGGGGCTCCGGGACCCCCTTGGGGGGCTGGTTCAGGGACAGGAACTCCGCCCGGTTGAGGATGTTGTTGCGGTCCCGGGCCCGGGCCCGGCTCTGGGAGCCTGGCATGGTGACGCCGGCGGCGAGGGCCTTCTCCCCGAGGCGCGCTGCCCCCGGAGGGCCACCTCCCCGCGCTGCCCCGCGTTAAATACAGAGCAGGGCCCCGCACATGCTGTTTACCTCCGCTGCCACCGGCTCCGGACCTCAGTGCCAGCGGGGCAGCCAATGGAGCCCACCGAGGCCGGCGGTGCCAATGGAGCCACCGGGGAGGCGGGGAGCCCACAGCTGCGGGCCTGCCTGGGCCTGGGCTATTTAAATCTCCCAATGGCTCGCTCCCCGGGCTGAGGGGGACTCTGGGAAATGTAGTCCTCCTGCTGCCCCGGCCAGAGGCCCCAGGGTGGGCTGCGGACCAAGCCCCGCCTTCCCCGCTTCCCTCCGAGCCTCCAGGCCCCTGCGAGCCAGGCTCCCTCTGGCCCGGGCAGCCTGGACCTGGTCCCACGGACTGGGCAGCGAGCGCAGGCTGAGGGCCTCCGGGCACCGATGGAGGAGTGACATCACGGGAGCATCACCGCGGCCTCTGGGCCAGGCCCCTCCCGCTGAGGCAGCCGCTCCTTAAGGGACAGGCAGGCCTTTTTTTTTTTTTTTTTTTTTTAAATAAATGGGTCTTGAAGCTGGCTTCAGTGCGATGGATGGCAGGGAGGTTGGTTTCCGTGCCAGGGAGACGTAGTTAGTTCACTGGCTGGGAGTGGATCTGCCTGGGGAGGCTGCCTCCATCGCCCTGCGTTTTGTAGTCAGGTGATCAAGGGCTTCTCACCTGTCTCCTTTCCAGTTACGGGAATATTTACAACCACCACGTATGACTTTAACAACCAGAAACAACACATTAAACAAACTGCATCTAGCCGAAACCGGTTTGGCTCAATGGATAGAGCGTCGTTTTGGGGACTGAAGGACCCGGGTTCGATTCCGGTCAAGGGCATGTACCTTGGTTGCAGGCATATCCCCAGTAGGGGGTGTGCAAGAGGCAGCTGATCGATGACTCTCTCTCATCGATGTTTCTAACTCTCTATCTTTCTCCCTTCCTCTCTGTACAAAATCAATAAAATATATTAAAAAAAACCCTGCATCTATGTATATCATATATATGTGTGTGTGTGTGTGTGTATGTATGTATGTATGTATATATATGTATGTATATGTATGTATATATATATATGCTCACACATATCAATATGCATTTAAAAATATGTGATATGCCCTTAAAAAAGTAACCTCCCATTTGCACTTAACAGATATAAACCTCGCCATGTTTCCATGACAACCGATCATCTTTCCAAGGCCGTCTGTCGTGAGGATGGGCTGTGGTTTGTCTGTTATTGGACACATAGGTTGTTTCCATCCTGTGACTATTCCACGCTGTTCTGGCTCGGCCACCCTCGTGCCTGCGTCCCTGTGCACTGAAGCAGAACATAAAGAAGCAGTTCACGTGGAAAGTGCAAAATCAACCCGTGCTCAGCTCTGACTGGTGTGGCTCAGTGGGTAGAGCGTCGGCCTGCAGACTGAAGAGTCCGATTCCCGGTCAGGGTACATGCCGTGGTTGTAGGCTTCATTCCCAGCAGGGGGCGTGCAGGAGACAGCCGGTCAATGCTTCTCTCTCATCATTGATGTTTCTCTCTCCCTCTCCCTTCCTCTCTGAAACAACACAGCGTGCTCAGATGCTCAGATGCTCAGATGCAGCCCGCTGAGCCTGACGCCGCACTACCCTGATTCGGGAGCACACGGCCGGGCTGTGGATACTTCGGGCTGACACGTCCAGTCACACGTGTCCCATGTCAGAGGTGACCAAGAGCACATGAGGGTGGTGACATCACCTGTGAGGCTGCACCGCTGGGGAAGGTCAGAGCGGGGCCTGGGCTGCCTGGTCCCTGCCTGCATGTTACCCACCTGTAACTCACTCGCTCGCTTACAGAACACTTTAAAAATTTTTTTATTTTATTTTATTGATTTTTTACAGAGAGGAAGAGAGAGGGAGAGAGAGTTAGAAACATTGATGAAAGAGAAACATTAATCAGCTGCCTCCTGGGCACCCCCCACTGGGGACGTGCCTACAACCAAGGTACATGCCCTTGACCGGAATTGAACCCGGGACCCTTCAGTCTGCAGGCCGACGCTCTATCCACTGAACCAAACCCATTAGGGCCAGTTTTTAATTTTTTAACTATATTTTTATTGATTTCAGAGAGGGAGAGGGAGAGATAGAAACATCAATGATGAGAGAAAATCAATGATCAGCTGCCTTTTTGAAATAAAAATTAAAAAACAAACAAACATGTATTGAGCGAATGGCTGTTTGATTTTGGAGTCAAGGCTTTGGACAAACCTCGGTGGGCCACCAGGAGGCCATTGGGGATCGTCCTAGAGGAAAAGGGAGGGGGAGTGGGCGAGTCGCTCCCCTAAGGCAGAGGCCTGGGGTCACACACAGCAGGCGGGTGGGGGGGAGGACCGAGCAGGGTCCACTGCCAGGTGGGGAGGGAGCCCCCTGATAAGCATGTCTCATCACCACCTCCCACCCCGGGCGCTCCCCGTGGCTCTCAGCTGCCTCTCTAAGGCTGCTCCGAGTTATTTTGGTCGGAAACCTGATCCCTCGCTGGTTTATTTTAGCACCTTGGAGAACTCCCAGGCGGGCACCCAGCCGGCCCACTGCCTTCGCCCTTCCCGGGTGGCGGGGCGGGGCGCGTGGGGGTGCGGAGTGCAGGGCGTGTGTGTGTGTGTGTGTGTGTGTGTGTGTGTGTGTGTGTCCCCGTGTCCTCCCATGCGGCCTGTACGCGGCTCTTCACCCCCACGAGGCTGGGGTTGGGGGAGCGGCCGGAGGGGCGCCCGGGCACACTCAGCTCCTGCCGCCTGACCTTGGGGCGCCGCTGGGTCAGCTCCTCCTCTGGGGACACAGATCGTGGGAGGAGAGGGCGTTTCACGCTCAGAACTGCAGCTCTGGAGACGTCGCTGGGGCAGCCGGGCCGAGGGACAGAGAGTCCTGAGGTCGGAGGGGAGGGTCCCAGGGGACCGCCCTGTGCACCAGGCCAGACGAGCCACCCTCACCGGCTTCCACCAGCATGGGATCTCCATCCAGCAGGCACACTCACACAGACACACACACACACACACTCTCATGGGTACTTACACTTACTCAAACACACTCCACACATAGTTACACCAGCTGTCAACTGTCACATACACCCTGACACATACACTCACACTCTCACACCATCGTTCACTCACTCACATGCAGTCATTCTAACCTCTTCTAATCGCTCACTCACTCCGTCCCCCTCGGCCCCTGGACCAGGCATCCGTCATCCCCCTCCTGCCCCCGAGCTCGACACTGGACACACGCGCATCAAACAACGGACGCCTGCACGACACGTCCTGCGTGTAGCCATCGCCACGGACCCAGAACTGTTGGAGCATGAGCTGGTGCCTTTTGTTGTTTCTGTTAATGAGCGCCTCTGTGCATCATGCCCGAGTCATCCCTGGGTGCCTCTCTGGCCATGGGTATGCCAGCGCCTGGGGACCACTCTGGTCATCTGTCCTGGCCCTGCCAGTGTCCCGTGACTCATGAGGGCCCAGCGCAGAGCAGGCACCCAGCAACACTGGACAGATGCCGGGGGCGGAGGGACCTGGCCCCACTGACAACACGCTTGTACCAGGTGCCAATCTCTGGGAGGGGCCGGGCTGTGCCCTCTGACCCCTGCTCTCCGCCTTGACTGGAGATGTCACTGCAGAGGAGTCTGGGGGGCCTGGGGCCAGAGGAGGGGGGCACCTCTTGGACAAAGGTCCCCGTCCTGTTCTGCAGATGCCAGCAGTTCCCGCGCCTGTGGTGCCTCCTGGGCCTTCGGCAGATGCTGAGACAGCCGCGGGTCTGCGCCCAGCACCCACAGAGCTGCAGGAAATGCTGAGCAGGAAGAAGGGCTGTGTGGGGAGGGGTGGGGGGGGCGGGGAGGTGGTAGGGGCTAGGGAAGCAGCCAGAACCAGGGGATGCACAGTGAGCTGAGCCTTTCAGCCCCTCTGGCTGTCAGAGCTGGCTCTGGGGGAGCCTGTCAGTGCTCAGAGCCAGGCCGACGGGCCCACGGGCACCGCCTGGGCCACCTCCCTGCAGAGCTCTAGGCAGGATGAGGAAGGGGAGGCTATGGGGCCGAGGCCAAGGGGTCTTTGAAATTGTCCTCACTCTCTTCCCGTGCGACTCTCCGGGACAAAGCTTTCCAGAACCAGTTCCTTCCTGGCTCAGGGGGCGGAGGCGGCGCCGGGAGGAGGGGTGAGCGGGCTTTCGGCTCGGCCAGATCTGGGCGAGGATTCAGACTTGAAAACGCCACTGTCCCCTGACCCCCCAGGTCTGTCTGTCTGTACAGCCCACCTCCTGGGGTCCAGGTGAAAGATACAGGAGAGAATGCTGGCTCAGGCAGCACCTAACACAGTGGGGGCTTTATCACGATCATCACAAGCCCAGGCCAAGCCCAGGGCCACAGGGAGTAACATCACTTCCAACGGGCACCCCGGGAAAATCATCCCCGGGGCCCTGACCCCTTTGTGAGCAGGTCAGGGTCCCGGCCTCTGTCCTTCTTATGTCAACACGGAAAGACGCGCAGCTCAGCATGTGTTCACAGCGCACACACATCCTGGTCACCAGGACAGTGCCTGCCACGAGGGGCGTCCTGGCCAGGGAGGCGTGCTCCGCCCCAGGCCCTGGGGCTGGTGTGGGAGATGAGATGGAGACCCCAAAGGCTCATATGTGTGAACCATTCAGCACAGTAATGATGTGATGATGAAGGAGGCGTGGATGCTGCAGTGAGTCCCGGGGGTAGAATGTTCTGTGGGGGCCTCGGTGCAGGGCAGGGCGAGGCTGCCGAGGGCCGGGCAGCCAGGGGCGCTTCCTCCGGGAACCGGAAGTGCACACAGCCCTCAGGAGACCTCTGCTGCCGGGTGCTGCCCTCTGGCAGGAAGCAGGTCTCAGCGGTGGGATGAGCTGACCTGCAGAGGGCCCACCCCTCGCGGGGCTGGGGGGGGGGGGCCCGTGGCAGTGAGCAGGTGGGAGCGGGTGCGGCTGGGTACAGCGAGACACTTCCTGTGGTGTGTCTAGATGGATACAGGAGAGAAAGCTGCTGCTGCTGCTATTTGATGGGCCGCTCAGCCCGGCCGATCATTCATCAAAGAGACCTCAACGTGGCACTCCCCGGGAATGGCAGAACCGCTGCGGAGTCAGAGTCGTGGGGACAGGAAACAGCTCTAATGTGGCTGCAAGGTTTTCCGATGTCACAAACCACCCGCTCTCCCTAGGGTGGCTGCAAGGGGAGGGCGAAGCTAACGGTGTGAGGTGCTTAGAGAGGATCACAGCTGTCCCCAGCGCTCTCTCCCCGGCCCCTGCCCTCCCCCCCTCACATCCAGGGTCAAACGCCCTTTTGAACCTCTGTCCCCAGACCGCCGGGCCGTCTCAGCCCGGACGCTGGGCAAGTCTCCCAGGCTCGGGTTTGGGATGGAAGCCTGCGCTGTGACATGCACAGAGGGCTCCCGCACAGGTGCTGATGGGGTGCAGCACCTGTCACAGTTGGGGTCCAACAGGCCTGACCGCCTGTCAGGTGCCCAGAGACCCAGCAGAGGGAGGGACACAGGGACCCTTTCCCTAACCGCATCCACCTCCACCTGCCCAGCCTGGAGCCTCCCACGGCCCCGGTCTTGTCTCCAACCGGCCGCCAGGAATACCAGGGCAGCACGACTCTCCTCTGAGTGCGCCGAGCCCCCCCAAAGCCTGCGAGTTCAAAGGGCAGCCATAGGGAGCAGTTACCAGGACCCGAGACACAAGCCGAACTACACTACCCACAATCCCCCGGGCTTGCCCGAAAGGAAATGTCGTTTCTGCAAGGAGCAGCCCCGCGCTCCTGGCAGCTGCAGAGGGGGAGGCGGAGCGGGGGAGAGGATCCAGGGGGAGGCGGAGGCGTGTGGGGCGGAGGGCGGAGAGCAGGGCGGGCGGCGGGGAGGAGGCGGCGCTCGCCGCCGCCGCCGCCGCCGCCGCCGCCTGCGGACCTGCATCCCCGCGGGCCGACAGCGGGCGCGGGGCCGGGGCGCGCGGCGCTCCCGCGGCGGCTGCGGGCGGACGCGGGGCCGGGCGGCGCGGGGGCTGAGTTTCTGCAAAGTTTGACCTGGTTGCCTTTCGATGCCGCAGCGGAGCGGGGCGGCGCGGGGCGCGCCGGGCGGGGCGGCGCGGCGGCGGGGCTGAGAGGCGGCGGCGGGCTCACGATGATCATAAAATAAGGGAGGCGGCGGGGTGGGGGCGAGAGCGCCCCGAGCCCCAGCCCTCCGCCCCCTCGGCCCCCGGGACCCCGGCACAGGAGGACGTGGGGCCGGGGGCGCCCGCGCCAGCCCCGGACCCCAGTGCAGCCAAAGGACACTGCCCGGGGCGGGGGTCGGGGCGGCCGGAGGGCGGCGGGGCGCGCGGATTGGCCCGCGGGGCAGGTGAGTGGCCGGCGCCGCCGGCTGGGGGCGTGCGCGCCTGAGTTCCCGCGGCGGCGAGGCGCCCGGGCGCGGGGGTTCGGGGCAGCGGGGTGCCGAGCGGGGACCGATGCGGCGGGGCTAGGGCGCGGTGCCCTCCGAGGATCGGGGATCCCGCCCGGGAAGGGTGCCCGGCGCCCTCAGGGCCGGAGGGCCGGCTGGGGAGCGGAGCGGAGGGCGCCAGGGCGGCGGGTCCACGCGGCCACCGCAGTGCCCCCCCCCCCCGCGGTGGTGTCAGCGGAGATGTCACGGGCGGCGATTATTCGCTGGAGCGCGCGGTGCGGCGGCCGCTGACGGGGCGGGCGGGGCGCCTCCTCCGGGGAGACCGCCCAGACGCGCTGTCCGCGCCGGTCCGGCCCCGCGCCCCCCGCGGCAAAGTTCGGCTCAACTTCGAGGCGGCCTGTCGCCCGGTGCCTTCGGCTCCCCCAGGCCCCGGAGGCGGCGGCGACAGCGGCGAGGGACCCGGTGCCCGCCTGGGGGCGCCTCCGTGGGCGCCGCCGGGACCCGCGCTCCGGGCACCTCGCCGCCTGGAAGCGGGTCGGCGCTCGCCCTCGAGGAGCCGGGACCTCCGGCGCCCGAGCAGCCGCCGCTCCCATCGATCGGCCCCGCGGGCGCCCGGGCGCGTGCGGAAGGCGGAGGAGGAAGCCGGGCTCTGCCGCCGGGAGGACGGACGGACCAGCCGCTCATTGATGTGTCCCCGCATCGCCTTCTGCCCCCAAGACTCCAGGGAGCCGCGTTCCCCGCGTGGAGGCCCGGAAGGGCTGGGTGTCTGAACACCATGATTATCCACTAATATCCAAACTTCCCCTTTTTAACCCAAAGAGTATCGGTGATTTTCGTCCACTGCGAGCAGAAGAGCCGGGGCCCTGAGATGCAGCAGAGCCTGTGTCTATAGACGGACCGGCCTGCGTGTGGCATGCGCGCGCCCCCCGCCCCCTGAGCTGCTTCTCGCCCCGGACATCGCCCCGAGGCTGAAGGAGACTTGTGGGACCGGAGAGCAGTCCGGCAGCACTGGGTCCTGCGGCCTCTGTCCTTTCAATGCCCAGCTTCCTCTGGGACTGCTGGCCTTCCCTGGAGATCCGAGCGGTGCTGTGCGCCATGGGCTGCATCCAGAGCATCGGGGGCAAGGCCGGAATCTTCCGGGAAGGGATCACGGTGATCGATGTGAAGGCCTCGATCGACCCTGTGCCCACCAGCATCGATGAGTCCTCCAGCGTGGTGCTCCGCTACCGGACGCCCCACTTCCGGGCCTCGGCCCAGGTGGTCATGCCGCCCATCCCCAGGAAGGAGACCTGGGTGGTCGGCTGGATCCAGGCGTGCAGCCACATGGAGTTCTACAACCAGTACGGGGAGCAGGGCATGTGAGTACCACTCGGGAGCCAGCTTTGGGGATGGGGGGGCGGCTGCTTGGGGTGTGGAGTGGTGGTCTGGGGCAGAGGGGAGCCTGGGGCACATCCGGAAGTGGCCGCTGAGTCCTCCTTGGCCACGTGACCCCCTAGAGCACATGTGTCAAACACAAGGCCCGCGGGCCAAATCCGTCCTGCTAGGCCTTGCAATGTGGCCCGCACCGCGCTGTCATCACTGCACTCCGCTGCGTTTCCATCACAATGACAGTTTATGACTGTTCAGTAAACCATTCGGCCCGCGATTTAGGCTGGATTTTAGATTTTGGCCCCTTCTCTGATTGAGTTTGACACCCCTACCCTAGAGGGTTTGCGTGTTGACTCACATTGGGCTCGTGGCCCTAGGGCCTCCTTTCCCCCCGACCCCGAGTTGCTGAGAAAGCAGAGGAGCCCTGGCTGGGTGGCTCAGGGGTTAGAGAGTCGTTCTGATATGCCAAGGTTGTGGGTTTGATTTCCTGCAACCAGTGAATGCATAAATAATTGGAACCAATTGATTTCTCTCTCTCTTCCTTCCTCTCTCTCTTTAACATCAACCAATCAATCAAAAGCAGAGGGAACCCCATCAGGCGCCTCTCTGACAGTCAGCGTGCTGTCCGGACCAGCAGAGGCCACGCTGGCCCCGGCCCTGGCCCCGCAGCCCCCGTGGCGGCCGCTCAGGGAAGGCCCCGGGTGCCCGGAGCCGCCTGCTGTCTGCCCAGAGCGTGTGGCTGGGCGGACTGGCCTCCGGTCTTCAGCTGCGCTCAGCTTTGGGGTGTGGTGGGATGGGGGTTCACTGCTCCCCGTGGTGTTTGAGGAGGGCTGGTTAGAGACCAGGTTTGCTTCGTGGGGTCGCACTGTTTCTCTCCAAGACGGAGGCCACTTCCGTGGACATGAGTTCCAGGCTCCTCTGGCCTCTCCCCAGCCTGGCCTCCAGCATAAAGTACATCTCAGGGCAGGACCCTGGGCCTGCGCTGCTTTTCTGGAATGTTCCCTGATCCCAGGGTGGCCATCCTGGGTGTGGAAGAGCAATAGTTCAGGGCACAGGGGCCTCTCCGTGGGAGCTGCCTGGCCCCTCGCCCGCAGGCCCTCCCTCAACATCCCTTCTGAGCGGCACCGGGTCTGCAGTGAGGACGGGGGTCGCCCCAGGCGCAGGGCTGCTCAGGAACATCAGGGCCTGAGATTGGAGGGGGAAGGAGGGCTTGGGCTGGGGGACACCAGATGTCCCACTGCTCCACCGCTGACTGAGCTGTCAGGGGGACGGGGGTCAGTAAAACTTACAGCGAGGGGGTGACCGCGATCGCCCGGGAGGTGCGGGCGTGCCTGCCTCCGCGGACACTCACCGCACCGCCACCGCCTGCCCACGCCCAAGCCCGTTACTTCCCCACCGCGGCCCTGATCCCGCTGGGGGCTGACTTCCCATCCCGAAGGGAAGCGGGAGTCTCAGCTGTTGGGTGTGAATCTTTGCTAAGAAGCCGTAAGCTCGGAGCCTTCTGGGGCTTTGCGAGGCATCCGGACAGCTGGCAGGACGGAGAGGGTTCTGGGCCTCAGCGAGGCCTCGGGGTCAGGGAGGCAGGGGCCCTCAGCACTTGGAGGGCACGGGTGCCGGAGGGAGGAAGGGGTGTGATGGGGGGAGGTGGATGTGATGTGCGGTGGGAGGCACGGGCCTGGCTCTGGGGCTCAGCCTTCCCATCTGTGCTCAGGGCTTCCAGTCCCCGAGGCCCTGCCCTCTGTGCGGGGGCTCTGGCGCCGTCCAGGCACCGGCTGGAGGCGGGCCCGAGCCAGGAGACCCGGAACGACCTTTGTCTGTGCCAGTCCCTGCCTCCTGGCTGGGGAGCCCAGGGCGCACCTCGATGGCAGCCACGCAGCCGCGGGCGGCAGTCCAGGCTCCACTGCCTGCCCGGGTGTCCTGAGCCACCCTGACCGGGTTTCTCCCTCTGCAAACGGGGGCGTCCGAGCCCTTGGCCGCGGCTTCTTGCGAGAATGATGGCAGACGTTTGTCACGCGGCCGGCACCCGCCGAGCCCACGGCACAATACTCACTGCAGGCGCTTCCGCCGTTAGCGTGATTGCTGGGGTGGCACTGGGTGATTGTCCGACTGCAGGCAGCGGCCGCTTCGGTAATGATGGTGGCTGTAACGCCAGCATGCCAACCGACATAAGTGACTCTCGACTGCGCTGTCTCCCAGCCCCAGCCTTCCTCTTTCACAGGCCATCCCTGACTTCCGCACGTTTTGAAATAGTCTTGAGCCACTGGCGTTGCCCGGGGGCCGACAGCCGGCTGCCCGGCTGTCTACCCGCTTCCCGGGCCGCCCTCTCCCTGGGGCACCTCTTGGCTCAGGGCCCTCTGTGTCGGGGTCCCCCCTCCTGGCTCCGATCCCGGGGGAGGGGCCCAGCCCCAGGGGAAGGGCAGAGTCGGAGGCTCCCTGGGGGGTCGTGTCCCTCCTGGGCTCAGACCTTGGGGTTGGAATGACTGACCAGCGGTGACACCCGGGGCTTTGGAAGTCACCCGGGGGCGTCGGCACTGTCATCGTTGTCATCGTGAGGATTCTGGGGGACTGGGGTGGGGGACTGAGATGCTGAGTGGGAAGCTGCTTGATTTACTGTTAATCGACGGAATCGTTGTAAGAAGCACCGAGCAGCGCGGCTGTTCTGAGCCGGTGCCACTGGGAACCGGACGGGCTGGCTCAGAGGCGGCCTGAGTGTGAGGGTGACACAAACACCCTTCCTCCCATCTTCCCCGACCCCCAACCACTTCATGTCTTCAAGCCCGGAGACAGGAGGAGGGAGGAGGGAGGAGGGAGGAGCCGGCGGGCTGACCAGGGACCTCCCGCTGCTGCCCCGGGCTTCGCCCGGCCCAGAGGCTGTGCTGTGCATCCTGGGACTCGGACCAGAGCCTCTGGTCTCCCCCGCTTGATGCCAGCAGCCCCCTCAAACCCTGCTGTGACAACCAAAAGTGCCTCAGACACTGCCGCTGTCCCTGGAAGGGTGGAAGCCATGCTGGCTGAGAACCACCGGATGGGACCCAGACGGTCTGAATCATTCAAGTGAAACCCCCACACGGGGCTTCCCGGCCCGAGGCAGGTGGGCACCCGAGGCAAAGGTTAGGGTTTCCGTCCTTTACACGTGGGCTCGTCCTCAAATTTTAATCCCATATACTTAACCAAAACCCGCTAATACCCCAAACATGATCCCTGCCTGAGATTAAGCTCTAATCCGGGGACCTTTGTAGAATGGCATTCTGGGTCTGAAATATTTCAGGGGGACAATGCTGTGACTCCCACAGCCAGCCACACGTTGGTGAGCTTCTCCGAGCCAGCTTGAGAGGATGCTGTATGGTTTTGGGTCCAACCCACATTACTTTCAAAGCCACACTCCCCCCCCACCCCCCAACTGCCGGAGACACCTGCCTCCACAGCCCGTCCTCCGCGATTCCTCAGCCGCCACCTGGCAGCTGGCACCGCCTTCTGAGTGACAAGCCACCGTTTCTCCCCGCGTGGGGGATGCTTCCCGTTGTCCCCAGTTTGCCCCTCTCTGGAGCCCCTCGGGGACCTGGCCCAGGGCCTGGTCTCGTTTCTGGCTCTGGGTTCTGCCAGGGGGCGGACCTGGGGGGAGGGGACGGGAGGGAGCAGCAGGGTGCAGGCCCCAGCTCCGCCACTCACTGGTGCTGAGACCTTGGGCCAGTCTCTCCACCTTTCTGAGCCTCACTGTTCCCATCCGTGAAGTGGGGAGAAGGCAGGGTGGTGAGGGTTACGTGGGGGGGGCATCGTGAGAACCTAGCACAGCGCCTGATGCACCTGCAGGCTGGATCCCTGTAGCTGTCAATGCCATAACTGCTGCTGGTTAACTATTAATGTGGGCGCCCGGCGTCAGCATAAAGAGGCCTATACTGTGTTGTTGCCGCGGCTGCTCCTCTCGGGGTTGGGTTTCACACGCCCGCTACGGTGAGAGCACCCTGGACGGTGAGGCGGGCGAGGGTCTTTCCAGCCGGCAGGTGCAGTGGCCTGGGCTGCCCCGGGTGGGCTGGCAGGAAGGCCGGGCGGGTTGGGGGGCTGCGGCCTGGGGCTGGGGTGCAGAGGGGCCGGCTCTCCCTCCTCTCTGTTACTTCCAAAGGCCTCCTCTCAGGAGGACCCAGCCCGAGGCCTGAAGCCACTGCCGGAGGAAGCCGGAGGGCCGGCCGCTGGCCACATGGCCTCTTCCTGCAGCCGGGCCCGAGCCGGCCCGCACACAACTGAGGACGCTGCTTCCGCTCTGCGCCCGGAGGTGGCCTCCCCGCCCCCGCTGCTGGGCCTGGCAGAGGGCGGGGGCGGAGCGGGTGGGAGAGGGAAGTCCTCCTTTCCAGCTTGGGGTGGGAGGAAGTGGCGGGGGAGGGGGTGGGGGACCGCCCGGCCGGAGAGAACCTCCCCGTGTGGCTCAGTCCAGGGATCACCCCGAGCCTCACCTCTGAGTGCCCCGCAGAGGCGGGCAGCTCCTGGGACACGCGTGAAGGCGGCCGTAGTCAGGGAAATACGTGAAGCAGGGGTCCGTGTCTCTGCGGGTCGGGTCTGGGTAAAGAGGAAGAGATCAGGACGTGGCTACGGTGGCTGCCACGGGGGAGAAGGTCAGGCTCTCGATGGCACTGGAGATGGGCCGGAAAAGACATAGGAAGCCATTTTTCATTCAGACGCCGTGACAGTGGGAGCGTACACTGCGGGAGTGTGAGGGAAAGGTCTAGAAGGATGTTTGCCAGCGGGTAACTACGGCAGGGAGGAGGGCGGCGAGGAAGACACACTTTCGATTCTCACTTTGTGCACGTCTCTGCGGCGGGCGCTAAAAGAAAGCACAGCTTCTACCAAGAGCCGAAGCCAAACAGGCAGCGCTGGGCCAGCCCTCCCTGCCAGCCCAGGGCCGCGTGGGGCTGTGTTGGGGGACCCAGGGCCGGGGGGAAGCGGGGTCACCGCAGCCCCTCCCCAGAGAGCAGGCGCCCGGCGACCTCTGGGTGGGGGCCAGCCTGGTGGGTGCCCGCAGCCTGGGGCGGAAGCCAGGAAACCGGGTCCCACTCTGGCTTCAGGGGGGCTTTTGGGCCTCAGTTCCTGTAAAACTGCAAACATTTGCAGAACTTTAGCTTGTTGCGAATTGTCAAAACTGTTTTCTTGAGGATGCGGCGAGGTCATCCCTGGGTGCCCGCTGGGCCGAGCCAGGGCCCGGAGACGAGCCGTGGCTGGTTCCCAGTGCCCAGTGGGCACCCCAGGGCTAGGGTCAGCCTAGTGTCACTTGAATTTAAAGCAACATATTTATTTTAATCTATATTAGAAAAATATATCTATGTATTTAGCATATTTGTCATTTCAAAGGTATTTCTTAGGAGAGTTGAGTTTTTAAAAAGTGCTTGCTTTGAAGGAAGATACAAGAGTGTGTGCACAGGAGCCCAGTGAAGAGACGGGAAGTGGGCTCAGTGCTGAGGCCTAGGGGCTGGGCCCGCAGCCAGAGAGCCCCGCCCACACCACGGGCTGAAGGGCGGACGGCCCAGGGGTGCGTCAGGCCATCCATGCCTGGGAGAGCCCAGGCCTGGGCCCACCACCCTGGCTGGCTCTGTCTGAAGGAGCCAGGGGTGTGCCCGTGGTGCCAGGAGGGCCCCCCTTCCCGCACACACACCCGGGGCCTCGGCCTCCCTGGTTCCCTTCGCCCTCTACTGAGAGGCCTGCGCCTGGCCTGCTGGGACGGGTGGCTGGGCCTGGAGCCCAGGGTGACCGTCCCCGACTTGTGGCCCTCGGCGGCCTCAACCTTCTCCCGCTCCAGGGACGATCCTACTGTAACCCCTACAGACGCGCATTCTCAGTCAGAGCTGTGTGTGCATGCACATATGCGCATGTGTGTATACATGTGATTGTGTGTCTATCTGTGTGTCTGTCTCTGTGGGCCTGTATGTGGAGGCCAGCTGCTCAGGCTGTGGGTCCTGGGCCAGCGTCTCCCTGGTTACGTGACCTTGGGCCAGGCCTCTAACACCTCCCCGTGCCCCCTGTGAAAGGCACCCGCAGCCCAGCCGGGCCGAGGGGACGGAGAACGTGCGTCGGGTGCCCAGGACGTAGCATGGCCGCTGTGGGCACGCCCCGTTGGGACTGGCACTGCCAGCCACGGCGCTTAGGTGAGGGTAAGGTGGCCAGACCTCCTGCTTTGGCGGGACAGTCCTGATTTCTAACAATTTGTCCCGCGGCGTTTTAAAAAAGTCCCGATTTTTAAAAAAATGCCACGGGACTCGGGACAAATTGTTAAAAATCAGGACTGTCCCGCCAAAAGCAGGAGGTCTGGCCACCTTAGGTAAGGGGCGCGCCAGCAGCGCCGCCTCGGGTGAGGGTCCCGAGGCTCCGGCCCCGCCCACAGGCATGGCCCAGCACCACATAAATCCTGAGGCCTGGCCCTGCCCTCCCGAGATCCTCAGCAATGACCACATGATTATTTAGTCACCGCGGGCGTGCCAGGAGGCAGCAGCAGCAGCACCGAGTGGCATCGGCCTGGTGGGAGGGCGAGGGTGGCTTCTCTGGGGACTCCAGAGCTGAGCCAGCAGCACCACCGGGAGCACAGGGAGCTGGGCGGCGCCGCTCCAGGCAGCGGCCCTGTGGGGCGGGGGGGATGGGGGGGGGCGGGGCCCTAGAGGAACTGAGAATGGTTAGACCTGCAGCTGGGGAGGCGAGTGTGTGAATGTGTGAGTGTATGAGTGTGAGTGTGTGTGTGTGTGTGTGTGTTTTGTGCGTGTACACGTGTGTGCATGTGACCTGGGCTTCTATGATACCGGCTTTAAGGGTCATGAGGAGTCATGGCAGCTTTGACAGGGTTGGAGGGAGGGCGGTGCAATTACTGTGTTTTTAAAAGACCACTCAGGCTCCTGCAGGGGGCGGGAGGGGAGGCTGGGAGGCCTGGGTGGGTGAGATCAGGGAGAAGGGGGGCCGTCTCAAGGTAGGAGGGAGAGTCAGGGATGGGGGGCTGGAGGGCACAGCCCCCCACATCTCCGTGGACCAGGCAGCACCCTGTCCATTTCTCTCCCAGCTTGTGGCCGGCGCCAGTGACGGGCGCTCTGCACTCTCCCTGAGGGGGTGCTGGTGGGGCAGCAGACGGAGCTGGTGTTGAGGGAAACTGGGGGGTCCCACAAGGCGTGTGAGTCTGGCGCCCAGCCCGGACTCCCTCGGTCTTTGCCATCCTGCACCTCCGAGGGCCAGCACGGTGGGGGCTGGAGAGGAGGTGGGGGGCAGCGGACTGAGGGCAGGAGCAGCCGCGTCCCCTGTATCCAAGGCTAAGGAGACCAGATGTCCCGATTTTTACAATCTGTCTCCCGTCCCGAGGCGTTTTAAAACGAGAGACAAATTGTTAAAAATCGGGACGTCTGGTCACCTTATCCAAGGCCCCACCTCCAAGCTGATCCATCGGTTGCGCAGGCGCTGGGGGCCCGGCGCTGGGGGCACGGCTTACAGTACTTACCCCTTTGGCGGCGTCTGAGAGTCGGACACTGTACTGCTCGGTGTGTGCAGGGCCGGGGTCCGAGCCCCCTCCGCCCTGTGGGCAAAGCACTGAAGGTCGGCCTCGACGTCCAAGGCCATTCCAGAACCGACAGGAAACCCCAGCGCGGCCGCGGCATGGGATCCACGCCTCACAGCCCACGTGGAGCCTGAAGCCGGTGAGGTCGGGTCAGGGCTGGCCGAGTTTCCGCAGGTTGCCGTTTAGGGTGCACAGGTAATGAACATCGACGCGTTCAGGCACCCCCAGACCTGGCAAGGCGGGCGGGCCACCCACAGCTGACCGATGGTGACCCCGAACTCAGAGCTTTGTGACTTGATCAGAGACGGACTGAGACTGGGCCCAGGGCTGGCCTGTGGCCCCCAGAAGCCGTGCCCTTAACCTCCCTCCCTCCCACCGCCTCGACGGGCACAGGGGCCGCGGGACCAGAGCCAGCCGCGCTGGCTGGCGGTGACGTGAAAACAGGTGCCCTTGGCGCTGGGTTCTGAGGAACAGCCCACGGGACAGCCGGCCTGCCAGCTCAGGAGCGCCGTCACCTGTCTGACTGAGCAGGGCTGGGCCTTGGGGCTCGGGGAGGAACGGCATCTTGGAATTCGGGGTCAGAGGCAGAGAGAAGCCGTCGTGGCATTGGGAAGCCCCCACCCCCAAACCGGCCGGCGCTCAGGAAGTGAGAGGGGAACAAGGAGGCGCAGAGTTCCGTTTGCAAGTTTGCTTTCTGCTTCTAAAGTGTTGCAAGCAATGTAACAGCCGTGAGTGGGCTGCAGCGGGCGGGTCTGGGGGAGCGAGATCGGGGGTGGGGAGGTGAGGGGGTGGACACTTGAAAAACGTGAGGTGGTTTGAGCTGTCGTCCAGGTTCCCTCTGAGAGATGCACTCAAGGCCCTGGGCAGGAGATGGCTACCCAGGCGCCTGTGGCGAGTGTGGGCGTGCAGCACTCTGAGTGCCAAGTGTCCTGAGCTGGCATCATGGGCCCAGGCGGAACCAGCCCTGGACCATGCCAGGCTGCCCGGGTCCGAGTGCCATTGCTTAGCCTAGTCGCCTTGGGAAAAGCCTGGCCCGGCTGCCTCCCTGTGCAGGGGCGTGTGGTTGCTGATGCGGTGCCAGGGGGTCTCCCAGACACTGCTGTGTCCTCGAGCAGCTCGGACGGGCTGAGTGTTGTTATAGCAACAATAGTGATGGCAGTGGTGCCAGCAGCGACCGACTACGGGCATTTACCTGTGCTCTGCCCTGGGCGGCACATTCTTGTCTTCCTCGGTGACCACTGCAGGGACATGTGTCTGCACGGGGTCTCCCACCAGCGAGGGGGCAGCTGAAGGTTCCAGAGTCTGGGCTCTGGACTCCCGGCTGCCTGCTCCCCCCCTAGAAGGCTGAGCCCTAGGCCTCTGACAGCGAAAGCCCAGTGGGGCCGCTCTGCACAAAGCACGGTGCACCCCAGAGCCGGCCCAGCGGGACGGGGTGCCCTGAGCCGGGGCTGGCTAAGTGTTCTTGGTTCTATGGCTCCGGGGACGGGCCAGGCAGGCGGGCGATTCAGGCGCTTCCTCTTCTCAGCAGGCGTGAGCAGAAAGGAAGCGGGGGGTGAGGGCGGGGTGGGCGGAGGGAGGAAAAGGCATCTGGGCCCCAGGAGCCACTGCTGTGGCCTGGGGGAGGCCTGGGAGCCCCAACTCCCGTGAGGGAGGGAGACACAGAGGTGGAGGCCAGGCCCTAAGTGGAGGGCCTGGGTGCGAGGCCCCCCCCAGCCACGGTCCCACGTGGCCGTGCCAACAGCAGTTGGCATGGCCCAGGGCTCTCCTTCCGGTCCCCCTCCCCTGGGGCTGGGCAGCCAGGGCTCCCAGTGGTTTCAGGGGGAGACGGGTGTGAGACGATGCCAGAGAGCGGGGTGGGTGTTGAGGGGGAGTGATGTTGGGGAGCCCCTGCTCACCGCCATGATGTCTGGCCCCTGGGAGGGGAGCCCCGGGGCGGGGGCGGCAGGGGGCCTGCGGGCGGCCGGCTGAGCAAACTGCCTTCCCCCCGCAGGTCCAGCTGGGAGCTCCCGGACCTGCTGGAGGGCAAGATCGAGGCCATCAGCGACTCGGACGGGGTGAACTACCCCTGGTACGGCAACACCACGGAGACCTGCACCATCGTGGGCCCCACCAAGAGGGACTCCAAGTTCATCATCAGCATGAACGACAACTTCTACCCCAGCGTGACGTGGGCCGTGCCCGTCAGCGAGAGCAACGTGGCCCGGCTGACCAACATCTACCGGGACCAGAGCTTCACCACCTGGCTGGTGGCCACCAACACCTCCACCGACGACATGATCATCCTGCAGACGCTGCACTGGCGCATGCAGCTCAGCATCGAGGTGAACCCCAGCCGGCCCCTGGGCCAGCGCGCCCGCCTGCGGGAGCCCATCGCCCAGGCCCAGCCCAAGATCCTGAGCAGGAACGAGCCCATCCCGCCCAGCGCCCTGGTCAAGCCCAACGCCAACGACGCTCAGGTGCTCATGTGGCGGCCCAAGTACGGGCAGCCGCTGGTGGTGATCCCGCCCAAGCACCGGTAGCAGCTGGCCGGCCGCCCAGGGCGCCCGCCACGAGGGCGCCCGTCATCCAGCAAAATACAACCATTCTACCTTGTCCGGGGCCTCACTGTGCGCCTGCCCGCGCCTCAGGGCCGCTGCCCCCGGGGAGGGGGGACAGCAGGGCAGCTTAGGGCGAACCCCAGGGGCGCCCTCTGGTCACTGCGGTGTCCTTTCCTTGCAGTTTCATTCAGTCACAGCGGATGCCCCCCACCACTGCTTTCAGTCCTTTTTGTTTTTTTAGACGCCTCCCCAGGAGGTCCGGGCGGGAGGAGGGGGAGCTGATGAGTGACAGCCGGCGCTCACTGACCTGTGGGTGCCGGGCCCTCCCACGCGCCCCCTCCCCTTGCCCTCCCCCTTGCGGCCTTACGTAGACTTGCTTTGCCAAACTTTTGCCTTAAGCTGAATTGAAAGAAAAAACACCGAAGCAGATCGAAAGCAGGATCTCTCTCCTGCCGGACTTGCCATCTCCTGCCGGGCGCTGGGCAGCGGCTGGGTCTGGAGGAGAGAGAGACGCCCTGAGCCCCTCTCCGGGCACCTTGGCACAGGGGCAGGGACCCGGCCTAAAACCAGCAGCTTACTCTGTGTCTCAGCAGAAACACGACCACAGACAGACGCTGCCTAAGAGCCCCAGGCGGAGCCCCCGTCCCCATCCCCAGTGTCCCCCCCTTCCCCACCCCCTGGCTCTGCCAGGGCTGCCCTCCCCTCCCGTCCCCGCAGCCTGGCCTTGCTGTGGAGAGAGGGAGGGTCCTGGGAGTGGCGGGTGGAGCCCGGGCATTTCCATCGCCGGGGTCTGCTCCCACACCTCAGGCCCGAGCCTTTTCCTTCCATCCACGCTGGCCCAGCGGCCGGGAACCAGCAGCCACGTGGGCCCAGGCTTAGCTCTGGTTGGCGGGTCAGAGGAAGGCGCACCTTTCCCTCCAGGCGCCTTCTCAGGGGAACCGAACACGGCGCTGGAGGGGGCAGCCTCGGGTCCCAGCAGCCTGGGCCCGGGCAGTAAGCCAGGGCCCAGGGGGAGCGGCATCGGAGCGCCGAGGAGGCTGGTCTGGGACAGGGCCAGCCTCTGAGGGCCACCCTCCTCCCAGGACTTGGCCCCCAGTGAGACCAAGCTTTCTCAGCCGCCTGCCTTGAAGGCTGCTTGCAGGAAGCCGGGGGTTCCCGCTAAAGCCCCTTCCTCCAAGCTTGTCCAGCCCACAGCTACGTCACTCCGGCCCCGCGTTCAAACCAGTAATAAGCACAGAAACCATCAGCTCCATTTCTGCACACGAGCCACCTGCAGGAGCCCCACGACCACCCGGGGGGCGGGCCACCTCGCCCCCGCTCCCTCGTTACCACGTGACAGTGTGTGTGTCCGGGGTGCTCACCGTCCATCCAGTCCTCTCCCGAGCCCGCTCCTGACGGCGCACAGCTATCCTGGGACAACTGGACTGCAAACAGCCTGGTGCTCGGGGAGCCTCCCGGGGCGGCTGGCTCCCCTGGGGGTGAGGGGCCGGGGTGCTGCTGGCCTCCTGGCGGAAGGCCCTTCTCCGCACTCAGGTCTTTCTCGTACTTCAATGGAGAAGGGGCCCTGGGGGTTCTTACTGGGGAGGGGGGGAGGGGGGAGAGTGGGGGAGGGGGGGTCCTGTGCTGTTTGGGGGCGGAATCCCTCCCATCGGACCTGGACAAGGGGAGCAGGCCTGTTGGCTGGGGTCAGCGCCCGGGAGGGAAGGCAGGGCCCCCTGCCTCTGCCCGGCCCCTGCACGTCTGGCCCCGCTCCCCCGCTCCCCACCCCTCCCTGCCGCTGGCCTTTCCGAAGACCTCAGAGGCTGCAGGGCCGGCCGGGACGCCCCCCTCCTGCCGGGAGCTCAGGCCGGCTCCTGGCCGGTCACCTGTCCCCCGGTGGACACTGGCCCAGCAATAAGGACCGTGGAGATTACTGTGAAGCAAACTAGTGCACTTACCAGGAGGCACAGACTCTTGAAGAAAATGTAAAACAAACATTTAAAAGAACAAACAAAAATATTCACAGAGAAATAAAGTGTAATTTTAAAGTAGGGCTGCCCAGCGTCTGGATGTTTCTGAAATGGCGGGTCATTGTGGGGTGGCTGGCGCCGTGATTTAGGGGCACCTGGGGGGCTTGTGCTTGGGGCCAGGCTGCTCGATGCCACCTCTGCCATCCCGGACCTCGGTCCTCACCAGTGCCCTGGCTGGTCCCTGTGGGGAGGAGGGGGCAGGCTTGGGGGTGGGGCCAGGACTGGGGGGCAGCTTGGCTTTTGGACAAACAGCAGAACCCCGCATTAACGGGGCGAGTGTACAGACCTTAGACCTGTCTTCATGAGGAGGGAGCTGCTGGGGCCACGGGAGCCCGAAGGTGGCTCTGTCCGCCCTCAGCCGGCAGCCAGTGTGGGGATGTGTGTATATGTGTGTGTGTGTGTGTGGCACGGGGGCTGCATGGACACAGCCTTGCAGTTCATCATGTGTTCTAATCACTTTCCTAGGAAAGGCGGAGGCGGGGGTTGGGGTCCTGCAGTGGGGTGGGCTGAGGGGGCAGTGGATTGGAGCCGTCGGCCAGTCTGGGGAGAACCCAGCCCCACCTCCTTGCATGGGGCCCGGCTCTCCGAGCAGCCGCCTCCTGGCTGGTGGGGTCAGAACTCCCCGGGTTGGTGTCCAGGTGTTAACTCACTGAGTCCTCACGACCACCAGGTTACCAGATCCCCATCTCCAAGATGAGGAAACTGAGGGAGAGGGAAGGGAGAAGCTGCCCACACTGTGCCTGTGGGAAGAGGCCTCGGATTTGAACCCGGGCCCCGGGGTGGTGACGGTTCCAAGCAGGCCCAGCCTTTGGCTCGCTCCCTGCTGGGCTCCGGGCAGGAAATGCCTCTCCCCCCTCCTGCCTAGGGGCAGTCAGTTCCTGCCCACAGCGAGCTGGGCGCATTCCCTCGGAGGGCTGCCTGGCCACTGCAGGCCACAGGCTCGCCCGCCGGGCACTGCCCGTCCACTGGGCATCAGGGGTCGGGCTTCTCCTCTGGGATCCCTCTCGAGAGCCCAGCGGCCTCCGCCTCCTGCCTCCTGTCTCCTGCCTCCGTGTGGAGCCACCGCGGCAGGAAATTGCATAACCGGCCGGCGGGCCGCCCTCAGCCCAGAGGGCTCCTGGGTGGTGCAGGCTCGGCTGCGGTTCGGCTTTCGGTTGTGGAGTCGGCTCCTGAGCTCTGCCCGCAGGGCGTATGGGGTGTGTGTGAGCAGGAAACGGTGCAGGCCTAGCGGACTGCGGAGAGAGCTGAGCTGGGTCACCGCGGGACAAGCCCAGGAGCCTGGCACTCCACCTTCCTGCAGCCACGCACCGAGCGAGGCGGCAGGACGCAGTGCACACGGGGTGCCGACGGGAGGGAGGCCTGGGAGGGAGGCCTGTGCGGGAGGGGCTGCGGGTAAAGTGGATTCCGAGTGGCCGTTGGTGGGTGGAAGCCTCCCGCCTCCCAGGCTGATAGCAGGTTAAATTTAGAAACCCCAGACGGGGACAGAGCCGACACCAGGCCCAGCCAGCTGTCGCAGGAGCCGGACGGGAGCCTGCTGTCCGGGCGAGGCCGCACCCCTGCCCCGGGGCCGTCTGGGAGCAGCAGGTGCACCGGAGCCGGCCCCAGCCTGCCTTCCCAACAGGGTCACCGTCCATCACATCGCGCTGTGTGCTGCCCCCACAGACCAGGGAATGGAATCTCAGCAAAGGTCAAAGGGCGTGTAAAGGTCACGCAGCTGGGAAGCTGTAGCGCTGGGTTGGCTTCCGACAGCCATCGGGAGTCTCGCTCAGTCACTGCTTTTCCTGAGGCCTCCCGGCCGTCCACACCCGGTTCTCCCAGCTCCCTGCGGGGCAGCAGGCCCGGAGTGTGGGGTTAACCGTCCACAGCCCGCTGGCACCGGCTGACGGAAACTATTAAATACAAGCAAATGACCCCCCAAATGGACGAATCGGCTCCATCCCCAGCCTGTGTCCGGGGGGGCAGACCCACACGACTGGCCCGGTCCTGGCACTGCCCCCGGCTCCGCCAGGCGGGCCTGCCCGTGTCCATGAGTGAGACGCAGACCATCAGTTCCTCCGCCCGCCTGGCCTTGCTTCAGAGTTACGGTCCCTTTCAAATCCGACAAAGGGCGGCAGCGAGGCGTTTGCTGCAAGCGGCGCGGTCAGCGGCCTGTGCTGTTCTTGGCGGCCACTTGACTTGCAGAATGAGGTCCGCTGGCCGCCTGGCCTCGCACGCTGGTTTCCCAACTCGGAGCCAGGACACGCACACCTGTCCACCTGCCCGTGGGACTCGGAGAAATGTGCTCGGCGTTCACCACGCACGGCTGCCTGGGAGGGAGGGCGCCGGGCCGGCGTTTACATAGGACCAGACTGCTCAGGCCTAACGCCACTGCGAAGTGCAGACCATGGGACTAGCTTCTCCAGGACTCTCGGCAACAACACGCAGATCTAAGTGAACGTAGTGCCATTTACAGAAATGAAACGGGCTCAGAGAGGATAAGTGACATGCCTGAGGTCACACAGCTTGGACGGGACCCAAACCAAGGCACATCCATGGTCTTAACCATAAACAACTTGCTGGGTTGAGTCGGTTTCTTCCCCTCCTTGTGTCTCAGTTCATTTCTACATTTAAGGAGGGAAAGCCCTAAGACGCTTTCTTTAAATCCCGGCAGGGTCCGCTTTGCCTCCCTGAACACACAGCTCACAGCCAGCACGCGTGGTGAGGAAGGGGCCTGGGTCACTGTGTGGCTGGGACAGCTGGGACCCCCGCCTCACCCCCCCCCCCCCGCCCGCCAGGAGGAAGCACGAGGTGCATGCTGGGCTGCTGGCGGCCGGTGTGGGGGCCGCACGCAGGAAGCACACGTTAGTACATGCTTCTGGACAGTGACACTGGCCCCGCCATCTGGGACGCTGGCCACCACACAGCAGAGTCCGAGCACTACTTGGCATGGACGTCTCAGAGACGATGTTTATTCGTGTCCAGAACGGCTCAACGTGGAAAAGAAGTCCCTGCAGACAAGCGCCAGGGCCCAGCCAGGCCAGCTGCCTGAAGCTGGGGTCCAGCTCAGAGCAATGTGGCCACTTGAGAAAGAGAGGCGCCCAGGCAGGAGGGTCTGGGGAGGAGCCCAGGCTGCGCCCTCAAATTACCACATGCAGAACCTTGCGACATGGTGGTAAGTTTCCTTCACCTCCGCAGGGGCAAACCCTGGTTCCTGAAAACTCAGGGAATGAAACCGAAAAGCAAACGTCCAAGCCTTGAGGATTCTAACGCTCTGACAGTATTGGCTGCTCCGTCCGCTCACACAGCCCCTGTCAGCTGCAGCCAGTGACTCACAGCCTGGCATGCGTCGTCCTGCTCCTCGCTGGGCACCCCTCACTGGGCACCCCTTGGCCAGCTGGAGAGCTGGGGGAGTGAGCCATGCATGGCTGCTCTGGTCTGCAGGGAGAGAAACCTGCAGACAGGGCAGGGGTGTAGGGGGTTCTTTCCCTGCCCCAGCCCTACCTGAGGGCGCCCCGGAGGGGTGTCTGGGCCCTGCAGGGAGTGCTGCTGGGTGGCAATCCTGTGGGCGTGCTCAGGGCAGGGGCACTGGGAAGCCACCTGTGAGCTTGCCATGCCTGTGCCAGGCACTAGCCTGAGCCTGTGCCTACAGTCCTGAGCCGTGGCATCGGCCGTTTTAGCTCGGGCCACGTGGCACCTGTTCCAGCTGGTGAGAGGCGGACAGCCTTGTCCCTGGGTCTGTGTCCAGTCTGTGCTCATCACCACGCACTGTGAGCCACAGACAGCTGCTCTGCTGCAAGCTACGCCTCCCGGGGCTGGTGAGAACCGCAGGCCACTGCCAGGAGGTCTTGGCCAGCCCGGGGCCTGGCTCTGACGTTGGCCTTGCTGTGGCCCTGGTGTGCTGAGCTGGCTCCATGCCCTTGAACCTTCTGTAAAAGTCTGCCCCCACCCCCTCGTCACCTGCTGGGGTTTGGCTTTTTTTTTTTTTTAAATCTTCCACCGCCCTAACTGGTCTGGTTCAGCGGATAGAGCATTAGCCTTCGAACTGAAGCGTCCTGGGCTCGATTGCAGTCAAGGGCATAGGCGGGGCTGCGGGCTTAATCCCCAGTGGGGGGCGTTCAGGAGGCATCATCTCCTCTCCCTTTCTCTTCCTCTCTGAAATCAATAAAAATATATTTTAAAAAATCTTCCACCAAAAAGTGAGAATAGTTTTCCCATTGATTTTTAGAGAGAGGGGAAGGAGAGAGAGACATCGGGGGAGAGAGAGAAACATCGATGTGAAAGACACACATTGATTGATGGCCTCCCACATGCACCCAGATTAGGGCCGGGGATTGAACCTACAACTCGGATATGTGCGCTTGACTGGGAATTGAACACATGACCTTCCCATGTATGGGCCGGCACTAACCACTGAGCGACTCCAGCCAGGGCAGGGGTCTGGGCAGTCATTCTGCGGGGGCATTTACCCCACAGGTCCTGCTTCTGTCTGTCCTGGCGCCACCAGGGCTGAGACAAGGCGGAGGTGGTCCTGCCCTCATGGAGCTGTTTGGGGGGAGGAGCAGGTCAGACAGACAAATCAAACCACCGCTCACACACGAGGAGCTGGGACGCAGGCCTCAGGAGCAGCGCCGTGGGCGGGAGAACGGACCGGAGCTGCTGGAGCGGAGCAGGCAAGGGAGTGATCTACCTGACTGCAGGGTGAGCAGGGGCACTGGGCTGGGGCCGGCCAAGGCCGGATGGGCCACTGGAGGAGCAGAGCGAGTGCCCAGGGACTGGAGAGTGTGGTGAGAGGGGGCAGGAGGGGCAGGGGACGGCTCAGCCTCGGAGGCTTGGGAAGCACTTCTGCCTCTGCATCCGGCCACAAGGAGACGGGGGTCGGGGGGAGTGTGGGGGGGAAGTGGTGCTGGAGGGACGTGCTCGGGGAGCTGGGCACCACCCCTGCGGCGTGCTGCCGCCCCGCCTGCCCCCCCCCCCCCCGGCCCTCTCTCTGCAGCTGGCGTCCCGGTCCCGGGCTGACAACAATGCGGAGCATCTCCGGCCCA